GTTACCATGATTACTGTCCCCATGGCTTCCTGAGGGGCCAAGACCTGGGCTTCCACTCTGAGTGATGTCCTTGAAGGAAAAGAGGAAAAGCACAACCTCGCCCATCTCATTCTTGATGGGCATCATGTCCAGGAGGCACCAAAAGGCCGAGCCTGTAGGTGTGGAGAGATGGAGGGGGAGGGTGAGCAGCCCATGGCATCCCTAACCCCTCTGGTTCCTGGGCATCGTTAAAGGGTTTGGCAAGAGTTCAGAGCTGGAAAGAACTCCAGATATGTCAGCCAACTCCTTCACCTTCCAGATGGGAGAACCAAGGCCCAGAGAGGGTCAGGGATACACTCAATGTCACACAGTCAGCTTATGGCAGTGCGAGAACCAGCACCCAGGCTTCCACTGTGCCAAGTGGACTCTGGGTCAAGCCCGGGGTCTGGACAGGGCTGCAGGCAGGCCAGGTCCCTCACCATCCTTCCTGTAGAAGCAGATTTCAGCCCTGTGTTCCTGATGTCCCTCCAGGGCCTTGTGAAGCCTCTGCAGGGCTGGTTCACTGGTCTCCGGACCATAGAGGAAACGGCAGCTGCATGTTTTCTGCATGACTTCGGTGCGGCCGTAACCTGTGAGCTCGCAGAAGCCGTCTGAGCAGTAGACGATGGGAAAGCCCCTTGGGCCCTGTGCATTGGCCAGCAGGAAGTTGCTATCTGTGAAAAGAAGAGGTCAAGATCAGGTCAAGGCCAGGAGGGGAGCTCAGCTTCTGGGTGGGCTGTACCTCCCACAAGCTGTGGTGAGAGCTAACAGAGTCAGAAGCTTCTCAGGCTTCCTTTCCTGTGATTCCTGGATCCCCCTTTGGGATATTCTCAGAGGTAGGAAGAGATAGAGCAAAGGACAGGGACCTAAGAGTGTCCTGGAACTGGGACAGAAACTACTAGGAAACCAAAGAATTCGTGTCGTTCATCCACTAGCCTTCAAGCGAGTGAGACCTTACTGTGGGAAGCAGTGTAGCACGGGGAGTTAGGACATGAGCTCGGCATCCCACCTCCGCTGTTACTGACGGTGTGAGCTTGGGCAGGTTAACGCACTCAGCTGGGGAGAACCTCTGGTAACGCAGTCAGTGTTGCACTGAGAAGATGAAGTGAGACCTCCACACTGGCACAGCTTTCAAAGCACAGCCCCTGCCCTGTCATCCTACTGGAGAGTGGACAAGGCAGAGATTCTGTTGCCTTCACACCCGTCTTGTCGATAGGAAGCTAGAGATGCCCCAAACTCACTAATCCCCTTTGTGGGAGGAGGACTACAGTGATGAGTAGTGTCCTCATTCCCTGCCTTGCGAGAAAGGTCCCCTTTTTAGCATCTCTTTAGCTAATTTCAGGTGGCCTGTCCCCAGTGCTCAAAGTCTGGCAGGACCAGGCAGTGAAGTTGTGGCTCCAGCAACCCCAGCAGCAAGCCCCGAGTTAGCTCCCTCCAGATCCAATGGGCGGGAGGCCACAGGGGGGCTCTGTGGGCCACCCAGGGACAGAGTCTCAGCTGAGGGAAGGGACCTGAGACACAATCAGCCCCAGGACACTAGGAAGGGTGACTGTATGAGGGTGGGGTGGCTGATGGGGACACGGAGGGTGCCTGGGAGGTGCTGGGTCCTGGGCAGCAGCAGCTTCCTTCTTCCCTCCCAGAGCCCGTTGCCCCGGTGATGGGCGCTATGGAAACAAGGGAGGCGGGTGTGGAGGAGGGTAGGTCCCCCGGCAGCTCAGTTTCCGCCCTCGGGTACCGCTCCCCTCGCCCCCCAGCAGGGTAGCACCCCCTACCCCATCCCAGCCAGGGTGTTTGGGAGGGGCAGGCAGCGACCTCTAGGCTGCAAAGTAGGAAAAGGGATCGGCGGGAGAAGAGGCGGGGAGGGAGGAGTGTGGCTGTCCAAGGTGCTGAACCTGGAACTCACGCTGGGGTGGGCGAGCAGGGAGTTCCCTTCCTCACGCGGACCACCCCGCTTCTCTTGCCTCACCTCCCTCAGACACAGACGCGCCAAGATCTTGGGGTGAGTGACCTGAATCTAAACTAGGTCCTGCCGAAGTCTGATCCTCTCTGCCTCCCTCCCTCTCTCTTTTCCTGGGGGAAGGGGATGCTGGAGCCATCTGGGCTCCGGAGCTCCGGACAGCAACGTCCGACTTCGGTGGCTCGGATACCGCCCTACACGCCCCTGGCCGAGCTCTGCCCCGGAGTAGGACGCTCCCAAGGCCTCTCCTCCGTTTTGCTGCATGAACGGCCTTCCACGCCTCCAGTCACACCCGCTGGCTCGCCCCCGGCACTCGGGGCTCTCTCCCCGCCTCGCACCGCAGAGAGCTGCTAGCGCTGTTCCTTTACCGCGTCTTTGGAAGTTCCTAGACCCTCGGCTCCACTCTCCTTCTCGCCTCCGGTCTCAGCACATCCGGGAGACCCAAGCTGGCCCGTTCTTGGCGCCCAGCTCGAAACCCCGGCCCCAGCCTCGGCCCCACTCACGCGTGCCGTCGAAACGGGTGGCGATCGTGTCCAGGAAGGTGTTTTGTGGGGCCAGCAACCCCTTCATGACCGGCATGGCCTCGGGGCGCCAGTCGAGGCTTGGCGGTGGGGTGCTCTCAGCTCGGCCGGGCCCAAGGGGGCGCGCTGCCGGCGGGGCCGGGGTGCCCCATGCGCCCGCCTGCCTCCTACTCTCTCTCTAACCGCCGCCGCCTCTCTGCTGCCAACCCCGCGGCTTTCGCTTGGGCTCGGTGCCGCCTCGGTGGTGCTTCTCCCCACGGGCCAGATCCTTTCCCCCGGGCTCAGCCCGCGCCCGCCACGTGTCCCCGCACGGGGAGGGGCCACCAGCGACACCCGCACCTCTCTCTGCGGTCCTCCTGGGGAAGGGGAGCGGCCCACGCGAGTCCCTGGCGGAGAGAATTCGGGACACGCCTACCGGGAAGAAGAGGTTCGCAGAGTTGGGGCGGGGCTTGAGTGGCAGATACGCCTCTTCCCGGGCGGCCACGCCCCCACGTGTGGTTTCCCGGGCTCTCCTCGTGGCTCCGCCCCACGGGCTTCCCTACTCTCCGCCCACGCTGGGAATGGTATTTGGTTCACAGTGCTGCCTGCCCGCTGGAGTTGGGCTGTTTTGCAGCACCCTCAGAACCCTGCTGTTCCATTGTGAGACAACTAGGGTTAAAGAGACTAGCTTTGCTGTTTGGGGATAGGCAAGGCTGGGACCTCAACTTCTAGAAAACACTGCGTAACCCCCAGGTATGCCTCAGTTTGCAGAGGGCACACTGGCAAATTCTACCTCTGAGTCTAGCAGGGTGGATGAAAACAGCTTTGGAGTCCACCGGGTGGAATCCCGGCTCTGCCATTTACTAAATGTGTAGGTTGGCCTCTCTTTTCTCATCTGTAAAATGGAGCTAATAATTTTCACCTCAAGTGGTTGTGAGAATTAAGTAGCAAATGCATCGACACAAAATAAGTGTGTCGGAGAGCCATTTTCTCTCTATCCTCCCTCTTCCTACTGTCTTGATGTAACCCTCCTTCTCTCTGCTGCCATGCAAGTGGAGGAGAGGCTGGGAGCAACTCTGGGACAGAGAAAGACAGTTTCCAGGTGGACAGAATCAGTCTGCACATCTCCCGTGCACTGGTGGACCTTGAACTACATTTTCTCTGAGCCCTAACCAGTACATCAGTAAGAAGGACCCAGGTGAGAACAAATGACTTTTTCACCACAGAAGCAGAAAATTACTGGGGCAGCTGAACCTGGAGGCTTAGGGGACGGCTTCCCAGAACAAAACAGTGAAGGCCAGTGAGAGCGGAAAGATGGTCGTGGGGGGACATGCCAGTTGCCCATGCCCTTCTCCCCACAGAGTTTGAACCCAGCACTATCTGGGATGTTAGATTGCTTAAAAGAGTCACATCTTGGCTGCGTTTCTACTTTTGGGTGCTGTATGAGCTTCTTAGGGCTGCTGTAACCGAGTGCCGCAAACTGGGTGCTTAAACAAAAAAATTGTCTCACAGTTCCCGAGACCAGAAGTCCAAGCTCGAGATAATGGCAGGATTGGTTCCTTCTGAAGGCTGTGAGGGAAAACCTGGTCCATCCCTCTGCTCTAGGTTCCAGTGGGCTGCTGGCGACCTTTGGCTTGGAGATGCATCACCCACATCTGCCTTTATGTTGAAGTGGATTCTCCCTGCGTGCATTTCTGTGACTAAATTCCCCCTTTTTATAAGAACTCTGCCCCCACTCCCATATGACCTCATCTTAACTAATTATATGCAATGACCCTCCAAATAAGGTCACATTCTGAAGTCCCAGGGATTAGAACATCAACACATGAATTTGGGGAGGGGGCACGATTCAAAGCGTAACTGGTGTGTTCCACTTAAAGTTGCAAGAAAATCTTGCCCCATCCCTGCCATAAGAACTCGTGACTTGCAGCTACCTACAGAATAAAGTGCAAAGCCTGATGACTTGTAAAGGTTTTCACCATCCTGGCTGCACGACCTAACCGCCTCCCCTCCAGCGCCTCACCTCTCTCCACACTCTCTACCCCACGCTGCAGCCACTCTGGATGATTCATGTTGAACCTCATATTCCCTGCCTTCTCCACGGGCTCTACCCTCAACCCTTCCCCCGCCGGGACTCCTCTGGGCAGCCCTTCTTGCTCCCCTCCCTCTCCTCTCTCGAGGTAAAGGCTGGATGCAGCAGAGCATCGAGAGATGTGTCCCGCATCCTCCCATCCAAGCACGCACATCTGAGGTCTTGCCCGCACCCCAAGACCTTGCATGGATCCTGGCTCTGGGGTTCCCTATCCAGGAGTGTTTCATATTCAACGACGCCCAAGCTGAGGTGTCCCAGAGCCGGGCTTCCAGGCTCTCAGGCTCTTTATAGTTCGCAAAACTCTTACGCCCCCTGGAGGACGGGACTCCACAACACAGGAACAGAGACCAGCCACATTAAGGGAAACTCGTCTTTATTGCCCTTTTTTTCTGGGGGCTGATATCGGGAGTGCACTGGGGAGAGGGCAGGGCCAGGTCATAGCCTAGGGACAGGCTCAGATCCCAGACTGTCCCCCAGGAGCAACAGAAGAGACGGCCCCCGCGGGACAACGGCGCCCGGGGCAGGGGCGCGGCGCTGGCTCTGCGCCCGCGCGGCGGCCCATGGTCAGAATGCCGGCTGCGTGGTTGCCGTTGGCCTGCAGGAGGCGCTGCAGCCGGCCCTGTAGGCCTGGGGTGCTGGGCCGCCGCTTGCCCAGAGTGAGGATGCCGGCTGCGTGATTGCCCGCGCCGTGCAGCAGCTCATAGAGGCGGCAGGAGCACGTCTTCTGGCGGCAGCAGTCGGGCAGGGGCTGCGCCGCTGCCCCGGGCGACAGCAGCGCAGGTGGTAACAGTAGCAGCAGCAGCAGCGTCACGGCGACCCAGGAGACCTAGAGAGGTGGAGACCCGGTGCTGTGGGCCTTCCCGCCGCGCCCGCTTCCAGTCCATCCACCCAGGCCTTGGCTTGGTGGTTGCGCGCCACCTCCTGGCCTGCGCCCCTCCCTCTTCGTCCCTCCCTTTTTCCTGCCTCTTGGCAATGTTGTGTGAGGGTTGTAGAGGGTTTCATCTGGCCTTTAACCTGCTCATCCTTCACATCTCAGCACAACGTCTCCTCCAGGAGGCCTTTCGAGACCCCCTGACCAGAATGAATCCTGTCTCCTCTGGGTATCCCTAATTCGCTGTACCCCCATTAGAGTGCTTGCCGCTCCACCTGAAAACAGGTGTGTCAGAGTCTGTCTGCACTGGAAGTTCGGATAGGGAAACAGGCCCTATTTAGTCCCGCTTCCCCTTCCCACAGTGGTGAACTCGTTTAAATCGAGGACTAGCAGGACCCAAGATGTCTTGTTCCTTTGCAGGGGACACCGAACTGGGCTTTGGGCCAGTTCCCTACCCTCAGGGGCACAGCCTCCTCACTTGCAAATTGGGTGTTAACTAAATCCTGCTGTGCAGAGCTGCTGGGAGGATAAAATGAGAGGATGGGTGCAAGCCCAACACCTGATGAATAGTAAGTGCTCAATAAACACAAGCTCTCAGTAGAACAGGGCACAATCAAATGTCAACCAAGGTGGGTTCTCTGCCAAGGGTCCACCCGGTCCCCTCCTTACCTCAGAGCCTACACAGGAGAAGACCAAGACAGGAGACACCTCTAGCCTTTCTCCCAGCCCCTGAGCAAGCATTCTCATTGCCCCCTGGAATGATGCGTCCCCTCCACCCCTGGGCCTTTACCTTTGTGGAGGGAGGGCTCATGGTGTCTGCTCTCAGAGTGGAGTAGCAGGGAATGGTGTCGCCTGCAGTGGTCCAGGTGGCTAGGAACTTTGAGGCTGTCGACTGTTACTAGCTCCCGGGAGCCTGGGGTTTATAGTGCTCTGAGGTGGCGGGGGAGAGACAGGCACTTGCGTCCACTCTGGGGCCAGACAAAGGCAGGTCTAAGATTAGCCTCACGCAGGGCGGCCGTCTCCAGGCTGGGCCCAAGGAATGGCCGCCAAGGCACCCAGAGGCTGGAGTAGGATCTCTGTGCCTCTGGTGCCCCCCTTGTCTGTCTGCCTGCTCCTTGGAGATGGGTGGTCTCCAGGCACTAATGAGGCCACCTTGCACCTAGGAATCTGGGATCACAAAAGAGGCCCAGGCTGGGGCGCTAGCCGGGACGATGTGGGGAGGGGCAGCTGCTAATGAGGGTCAGGAGAGCAGGCAGTTGTGAAACCCATTCTCCACAGGGTGTGCGGGGGTGGGGAGGGCACCCAGGCAGCGGGCCTCCCTCCCTCTGCTCCTCGTCTCTGCCTCTGGGATCTGCCAGGCTCCAGGGCCGCCCTCGTCTGTGGAAGAAGCCTTCTCAGCTGGTCTCCTCCTCCCTCAGCCCCTTCCTCCCACTAACCTCCAAGATGGGGAGCCTTGACAACTGATCCTCGGCAGTGGGGAGAAAAGCAGCTGGTGTTGTTATCCTTGGACCTCACCAGCTTTCTTGCTGGAGGGGACGGGCGGGGTTCCGTCCCACCGTCGGCAGGGAGGGCGCCACCATGCTGCAGTCTCCCTCACTCAGGGCCCTGTCTACGGAGCACCTGCTCCACGTCAGGCCTCACTGGACTCTGAAGCCACGGTGGGCATGGGACATGCCCAGCTTTCAAGGAACTCCAAAGTCCAGGTGGGGATGTGCCCCGGCTTGTCTGGTAGCTCAGTGGGAGAAAGGACTCTGGAAAGGCCTTCCTGGAAAAGATTTCTACTTCTGCTGAAGGGACACCTTGAGCAAAGACCTGGAGGTGACGGTGCTTAACCCACGAGGGGTAGTGGGATGTGGGCCTCATGGCTGTGGCTTCCCTCGGAGGAGGGAGGTGGCTGGACAGCAAGCAAGGCCCTCACATTTGGGTTAAGGTTGGGATGGAGAGAGGCAGGAGGAGGAGGTCTGTGCCTTCTGGGTTGACCTAGGCCATCGCAGGGGGGCCGAGGGCTCCTGGGGGCACACGCCCTCAGGGCCTGCCCCCTCGGAGAAAGCAGGGAAAGCCTGGACATGGGAGGTGACAGGCTGCAGCAGGAGCAGAGCACAAGGACCACTACAGTTTCCCCCAAAGTAGCCCCTGAGTCAAGAATCTGGGTGCAAGAGGTTTATTTGGGAGGTGATCCCAGAAAACACATACGGCAGTGGGGACAGGAAGGACGGGAGGAAAGCACAAGAACTGTGTTAACCGTCACCCCTGTGGGCAGCTGGTGCAGAATGCACTTCAGGAGGTCGCACTGCAGGACAATGAAGCTGAGGTGCGTATTCGCAGTTCCTGTTCCTCGCTCACGGAAAGTCGCTCCTGGGAACCTTAATTCCCGACACTTGCGGCCCGCCCAGCGTGCTGGGCTGAGAGGCACCGGAGCCTCTGGCGTGTGTGGGAACTGTCCAGCAGTTTCCTCCAGAGAGGGCTCCGGGGGCTCCGGGCAGGGCACTGCTGGTATCTGGTACACCCCGAAGTCGCTCTTCAGACCTGGCTGACTAGGTCGGACCTCCCTGAGGCCCGGCAGCTCTGATGAGCCCGACAGGTGACAGATTCAGAGACCCTGGCCGACGGCTCCCCATCCAGAGAAGCCCCAGAGGAAAGAGAGAGGCAACTTCGGCGGTCGGGGGGTGGGGGGCAGTGGGCAGGCCTCGGCTCAGGACAACACTCTCCTTTGCAGGAGCTGGGCCAGGGGCCTGTGCCTGAGGACCCGGGGCATCTCGGGAGGGAAGGGAGACGAGGGACGGGCCACCAGGGCTGCCCGGAGCGCCCCAAAGGCCTCCGGCCCCACCAGGTGGACTCCAGCAGGGCCCACGCTGCCCCGGAAGCGCAGGGACTTGTAGCGGGGAGAGGCTTCCTGGAGGCAGTGGTCAAGCTGAGAACAGAAGGGCAGAGTGATGCCTGTGCGCGGCTGTGTGGGGTGTGGAGGAGGCGCCCACGACAGTGCCTGGCGTACGTGTGGGCAGGAGTTTCATGTGGACACGTGCGCGTCTGTGGGACTCATCCCGCCCTTCCCCAAGCCCCAGGAAAGTCCCCCTCCTTGCCCGACCTCCCCGTCACTCTGCTGTGTCCACCGCACCTGGGGGCATGCAGAGCAAAGGGGACACGCAGTCCCAGGGACAGATCCTGTCCTTGTGTCATTTACCTTGTCTCGATTTTCCTCAGACAGGTTTCTCAGCCCCCTCAGGGCTACAAACACTTCATAGTGGGGAGCGGAGCCCCCAGAGGAGTCTGCAGACAAACCCACACACAGCACTACTGTGAACGAGGCCACTTCCAAAGCCACGCCCACTGCCTCTCCCCCCCCCAGCCCCACATCCGCTCCTCGCTCTGTGCTTCCCTTCCCCACTCTGAGATTTCTGGGGAAACAAGCATTGCTTGGAGCGCAGGTGGGGAAATGGAGAGGAACCCGGGCCTAGTCCTGAATATGAAACAGGGCAGGAAAGGAAATGGGGAGAGACTGCAGCCGGAGGGATGGGAGTTAGACCTGGGGAAGGACTTTTGTTAGGAGCAGCTAAGGAGGCTGGGTCTTCCCTTCTTCCTGGAGGTGTCTCAGCAGGATGGCTATGGGTTGAGGGGCAGCCAGCTTGGGAATGAGGAGCAGGAGCTGATAGGGAAGCTTACCCAGAAAGCCGCTCTCCACGCAGCAATGGTCCAACAGCGTGGCCCCTGGCCACTGTCCCACAGCCCGGTCCAGGGCCTCAGAAAACACGTCCTCACCAGTGTCTTCTCCTCGCACACTCAGGGTCTGGCTCAGCCTAGAGAGAAGGGAGAGGGAGGCAGAGGGGCCCAGGGCACGAGGACAGCTCCTCAGATTCCGGGGAAGTCACCTACCTGCGGATGAACCTGACGACCGGGCACTGATTATAGGCACCAACCACTCGAACCACATCGCCCAGACGGCACCTGGCAGGGTAGGGGTAGGGGTGAGTCAGGCCCAAGGACCCATTAGCTCACGCCCCTGCCCTCAGTGGGGTCCTGGAGGGCCTGAGGAGGCCTCGGGGAGGCCGGTCATCACCTGGTAAGGCTGGCGTGGTCAGTCAGCACCAGCTCGTACTCCCTGCCCTTCTGGGCCTCGGCCAGCAGGATGGTGCTGGCAGTCTCTTCCTGGCCTCCTTCCTGGACTGGGAGCAGCTCAATCAAGGGAGCACCAGGGGGCAGGAGGTAGAGTCCACCAGGCTGCTCTGGCCACAGGTTCAGGCCCACCACCCCTGCGGGGAGCAAGCAGCCTCTTCATCTTGTGGTGCTGAGGCTTCCTGCTAGGCCCTTACCCCAGGCCCTGCGCCTCAATCCTCTGAGCACCTGATCCCACTGCTGCCCTTCCACCCGCTCCTTCGTGGCTCCCCCAGGCTCAGCACATGGCCGGCCTCTAGGGCTCTAACTGGGAAGAGGCAGCGCTTCTGGATGTGGCACACCTGGGGGTAAAGGCTGGTGCTCTGCCGATTTGTGCAACCTCTATGAGCCTGTGTCTTCCTCTGTAAAATGGAGCTGCTGGTGTTGGGAGGATACACAGGGTGTTGGGAGAATTAAATGAGATAATAATGAAGGGCTCACTCCGAGGCAACTAGCTGGGTGCCCTCTGCCCCCTGCCCTTCCGCTCACCACCCTCAAGTCCTGCTGACCTCCAGAGGCAGCGTACGCAGGCGAGAAGAAGGCGAGCCCTTGGCACCACAAGGCCTGCAGGGCAGCCACAGCCTCGGCCTGGCCTCCTGCGTCCAGAGTCACCACCACCTGCAGCTTTGGCCAGAGCCTCAGGGCCAGCCCTCGGGGCCCCTGCTCCAGGGCTTCCCGCAGCTCAGCTGCCCGCCAGGGCAGAGGTGCTCCCGGGCCCCTGGAAGCTAGTGCCTCAGCCAGCGCTTCGCCGTTGGCCCCCAGGACCGAGAAGACGTCCAGGAGTTCGACTGCTGTCCCAGCTTCCAGTACCCGCAGCCCCGGGGACCTCAGTGCTTCCAGCAGCAGGGCCTCGGGGTCCTTAACTCCAGGGGGGCTCCCCTGGCTGGGGACACGCCAAGGCCAGGGGAGGGGGCTGGGCCAGGGGGATGTAGCAGTCAAACAGGCTGTGCCTCCTGGGGCCAGTGCCTCTGGATGGGCCTTGTTCAGGGCTGCCAGACCCATCAAGGTGGCCTGAGGGGAGAAGGGACAGGGTGTTGGCCCCCCGCCTGAGCCAGACCCCGAGGAGCCCCCGGTCTGGGGATTCTTTGCCCACCCTGAGAGGAGGGTGTGCCTGCAAGCTGGGGTCCAGGGGAGGGCTGTTTACCTGTAGAGAGGCCGTCCCGTGGTGCTGCTTTGGGGTAGGCGGCAGGAGCTGCTCCCCACTTTCTTCTTCCTGCGCCTCGCTGGCCTTGGTCAGAGGGAGATGACTCCGGAAGGTGCTCATATCTGTAGCCCCAAAGACACCGTAAACGGGTCAGGAAGCCACAGAGTTTCCCAGGAGTTTCAGGCAAGATTGGTGAGACCGTTGAGGAAGGGACGTGGAATGACATGCAGTGACATGGAAGAGGCCTGGGGGAGGGGCTACCAGGGTCCAGGATGGGAAAACCCACCCTGAACCCGGGGAGGGTGTCTGGGACAGGCCTCTCTGGGTTGGCAGCAGAGGGTGGGAAGAGGGGTCTTCAGGTGGTGGAGTCTGACTGTCCCGTGTGATTTCTTTCTGTCTGGACCACCTGCCCAGACCCTGGAAAACACACCTGTGCCCCCCCTGAGGGGGCAGCGGGGGCTGGGGGCTCCCTTCAGACACCACCTCAGGGCCTGCTGCTGGCTCTGGCCCGCATGCAGCGTGCTCTGCTCCAGTCTCCACCGCTGCCAGGCAGCTGCCCAGCACAGGGCGCCCCATGCCACACGGCGCTGGAGACAGGCCAGCCAGGCCAGCCCGGGCCCCGGGGACCGCTGCTGCCGGAGCCCGGCCAGTGGCGGCAGCAGCAGCAGCAGCAGCAGCAGTGGAAACAGCAGCAGCAGCAGCGGAAACAGCAGCAGCAGCAGCAGCATCTCCAGGCAGCTCCTGGGCAGAGGAAGGGACAAGAGCGCTGGTACTGGGGGCGCAAGGGATAACTCATTTCTTACCGCCGCCCCCCATTCCACCGGCACAGGAAAACCAAGAACACAGGAAGCTTGGGGAGAAGCCAGGACCTCCTGTCAGGCAGATGAGGCAGAGAGAACAGCAGGCTTTAGCGCCACACTGACCTGAGTTCAGATCCCGGCTCTGCCACTTGTTATCTGTATGTAATTTGAGCGGCTGCTCTGGGCTCCGTCCCCCTGTCTGTCAAATGGGCATATAATACCCCCTCAGAAGGTGCAGAGAGGGCTTGCCACGGTGCCTGGCACACAGAGGCTGCTTATTGAACGAGATCTTGCCCACTTCCTAGTGGCTCTGCTTCGTCCCAGGGTCCACCCTGCCCTGCTGTGTGTCCCTCCTGAGCCCTGGGCAGTGGCTCATGTCCCACGTGCACCTGTCACAGCCTACTGATGCCCACTCCCAGCATCCAGGCCCCTCAGCACTTAGATCTCTACATACAGGCCGGCCAGAAAGGTGAAGCCATGGCTTTAAAGGGCTGGGCCTCGCGACAGGGAAATCCGGCCACTGGGCCTGAGGGCGGAGCTGAGGTTGGGGGTGCTCTTAAAGGAGCAGGTTGCTGAGGAAAGACAAGCTGGGTGCTGGTCGGAGCTGGCAGCAGTGGGAAGCTGGGGCTGGAATAGCGTGGTCCTCACACTTGTGCAGGTGAAGGAAGAGAAAGCTGACTGTGGAAAAGAGTGACAGGAAGCAGCTAAGCAGCTTCAGCTGGGGCCGGGCACACCCCATCCTGGAGCAGACTCAAGCCTGAGAACTGTTAAAAACCAACATTTTCTCTCAATCCAGAAATCCTCTCCCCCAAGGTGGTAGAGAAAGAAAACACTTTTATTACTGAATAAACATTATGCCAGAATGCGATGTGCATCCCAGTCAGTCCGCTGGGAGATGCCAAAGACAAAAAAACAATCTCACTCCCCTTTGTAGCCGAGCTGGTCGCACACATGAGTTCTCAAAATACATGACACATGATAGTCAAAGTCATCTTTGAAAGGGAAGAGATTTCAGACCGTTGATGAGATTCAGGAAAAATGCCAGGGCAGCTCATGGCGACTGAGGGAACTGTGTGAGGTCCCAAGGTGCCTACTTTGAAGGGGGCTGAGGTGTCACCGTCCTGTGTACAATGTTTCTTGTAGCTTGTATCTTTTTCAATAAATATCTCTATTTTGTATAGTACATGACTGGATACTTTCTGGACAGATCCCATTCAGTTACGTGGAACCCCAAAAATCAGTTTATAACATTTTTGTCACCTCAAAAGTGACCCCACACCCCTTAGGTATATCCCCCAGTCCCTTCCCATCCTTGCCCACCCCAGCCCTAAGCAACCGCAAATCCACTTTGTCTCTATAGATTTGCCCACTGTGGACATCTCCCATAAATGGAATATGACGCACGGTCTTTGTGTCTGTCTTCTTCCCCTTAGGGCAATGTTTCTGAGGTTCTTCTACGTGGTAGTGTGCCCCCGATCCAGTTCAGGGCATATGTTTTAATTTTTCTTGTATGGAGACCCAAGAGAGGACTAGCTGGGTTATATAGCAACTCTCTCTCTCTCTTTCTCTTTTTAAACTCTTTAAGGAATGGCTAATCTGGTTTCCAAAGTAGCTGCATCATTTTACATTCCATTATCAGTATGTGAGGGTTCTGATTTCTCTGCATCCTTGCTAACACTCGTTATTATCTGACCTTTTGATCTAGCCATCCTAGTGGGGTGTGAAGTGACTTGAGTCTATTTTAAATTTTTTTAAAGATTTTATTTATTTATTTTTTTTTAAGAGAGAGGAAGGGAAGGAGAGAAGGAGAGAAATATCAATGTATGGTTGCCTCTCGTGAGTCCCCTGTTGGGAACTGGCCTGCAACCCAGGCACGTGCCCTGACTGGGAATCGAACCGCGATCGTGTGGTTCGCAGGCCCATGCTCAATCCACTGAGCTACACCAGCCAGGGCCTAGTCTATTTTAATTTTAATTTTCCTGATGACTAATGATGTTAAGCATCTTTTTAAGTGTGTAGTGGCCATTTGTATAGCTTCTTTGGAGAAATGTCTTTTCAGATGCTTTACACATTTTTAATTGTTTTTTTTTATTAGGTTGTAGGAGTTCTTTATATATTTTACAAACAAGTCCCTTATGATTTGCAAATATTTCCTCCCACTCTGTGGGTTATCATTTCATTATCTTGATGTGTCCTTTGTGCACTGAAAGTGACCTTCAAAGGCGGATGAGGCCGAGACCAAAGAAAAAGGCTGACAAAGAATTAAACAGAGACTTTGTTAGAGAACTCACTGAGAGAAGCAGCCCGGACAGCAGCCAGATGATGGATCTCCACATCTGAAAGAGAACGGGAACTTGAAATACACAGCTTTCAGGAACACAGGCGGCTTGCAGCCAGGCAGCACGTACTTGCTGAGAGATGTACGTTTCAAGTCATTGCACAACTCGATGGACCTCCTTATCTGTGTAAGAACATTCCTTTTAGGTGACACAGGGGCAATTTTCTCTGTGAAAATGCTAAACTCTTAAGGACAGGTGTGTCCTCTACCTCTGAAGTGGAAGAATAAAACAGTTTATTGTTGTTTTTTTTATCAAAAGAATAATTGGGATCCTTTAAGTGTTTGGTGTAATTCAGTGGTGAAGCCATTTGGGGCTGGGCTTTTCTTTGTAGGTAGTTTTTAATAGTACCTACAAAAAAAATCACTTTGTTATAAAACTATTCAGATGATCTATTTCTTCTTGAGTCAGTTTCAGTAGTTCGTCTTTCTAGGAATGTGTCCATTTTATTGAAATCATCCAATATATAGGCATATATTTGTTTATAGTAACCCTTTTACTTCTGTAAGATCCGTAGTAATGTCTCCACTTTCTTTTTTCTCTGTTTAGTGAAATGTTGTCACTGTCATTGGTTTTTTCAAAAAACTAACTAGTTTTTGGTTTCACTGATATTCTCTATTGTTTTTCTATTCCCTATTTCACTAATTTCTGCTCTATTCTTCCTTTCCTTCTGCTTGCTCTAGATTTAGCTTGTTTTTTAATTTTTTCAGTGTCTTAAGGTGAAAGGTTGGGTTGATTTGAGATTTTTTCCTTTTTCTTTTTCATTTTTGTCGTATTTTTTTTCCATTACCATTTAGTCCCCTTATACCCCTATCCCTTCCTTTTTAATGTCTTTTCAGCTATAATTTTCCTCCTAAGCACTGGTTTAGCTGCATTCCATAAGTTTTATGCTGTGTATTCATTTTCATTCATCTCAAAGTATATTCTAATTTCCCTTGTGATTTCTTCTATGACCTGTTGGTTGGTTAAGAGCATACGGTTTTATTTCCACATATTTGTAAATTTCCAGGGCATGGTATTGTTTGTTCAGTGAGTGGCTGGACCACTTAAGCACGTGTATCTGCTCCCCAGCACCAACCCCATAGTGTGGTCTGCTATTGTTCATCAGGGCTGCAGACTCCAGCGGGCCTGGTCACCCTAGTGTGACAGTGATCTTCACAGAGCTCTTCCCTGGCCACACCCAACTCTTAAACTACACTAATTATTGGCTGATTATATATATTTCAACAATGCCCTGGAAGAGAAATTGCTCCACAAACCGATCCAATCAAGTCCAGGCTTCCTTAAAGGGATCATTTCAAGGGTGGCACTTGAGGTTTGTTCTGACCCCAGGAGAGCTCCTCCCGGCCACCTCTTTCCTCATTTGTCTCTAGCAAACTACCCCGGCTCAGGCCGTATTTCCAATGAAGCCCGTCATTCTCCTGCCGGCTGTCTTTCCCCACAACCTCTGCCGTCTGGAAGAACACCTGCACGCCTGAACTTCCCTTTCAAGTGCAGTCGGTTCCTTTGAGGAGATATCCAAAGCTCTCTGTTCTGGAGCCTTTCACTCCCCTCTGGGGCCAAAACTCGGGCCATGGCTCTGGTCCCTGGTGTTGGGGCTGGAGATGATGGTGCACTTCTGGGTGACATGCCCACTTCAGAGAATGAATGAATGCCTTCTCCTTTCTCACCTCCCATTTGTTTCTTAAGAGCCAGCTCAAGCTGTTCAGTGCCCTTCCTCTTGTGTCCCTTTGTACTTGATAGAGGCCTTGGGACACCGTTATTCACGGCAGCGTGAACGGGTGTCTCATCGCACCTGGTGCTGTACGCGGCCTCTTCCTGACCTCGAGGCTCTTGCGGGCGGGAACAGTGTTTCTCGCCCCACAGGCAGCGCTCAGAGCTCTAAAAGCACCGTTTTCACGGTGAGCTTCCTAACAGGAGTGCGCAGTTGGGGGGCTAGGGGATGAAGACTATCATCTAACGTCCAGGGCATCAGATGAGCAGGAAGGTAAGAAACGCCACTGTCCGCCATCAGAGCTGGCGCCCAGTGCCTGGAGGAGCCTACCCCCAACCAGCTCCCCTTTCAGACGCGCGCCGCTCTGGCGGCTTCAGACTTCCCTGACCCAGCCACCCTCTCGCGCCACCTGTTGGAAAAAAGAAAACATAAAACAGGACTCAAGGCTGTCCCTTCAGAGGAAATCTTTATTGTAGCACAAAATACACTATTTTGTGATTTCCCCAAGTAAAACTGTACACAATACTTTTCTGGTAGCTATAGACCAGTCTGTCTCAACACTAAAATATGTATATGAAATGATTTCACAAAGTTTTAAGAAGAAAAATTATAAAAAGTATACTTCCACTTTAAGTTATATTAACTTTGTCCCCCACCCCGGCCCCCCACAAAACCCTGCACAGAGCACACGAGGAGTCGCACACTCGGATGACGTGTGAGTGTCCGGGGCGGGCGAGAGGTGGGGCGGCCACGGCTTCCCATGACCATGACCTCTGCTGGTTCTCATGGACAGGGAGAAGAGAGCAAATAGAATGCAGAGAGCGAGCACACCTTTCGGTCAGAGATCTCTCCCATCCATGGGCACAGCCTCAAGGAAAATTGAGGACGGATCAGCAACTATACAAGCACGGAAAACCACACGCAGCACCGGTCCCCTCTGCCCCACGGCCCAGGCAGAGCCCCGCCCTCAGCACGCCCCAGGGCCCGGACCACTGCTGATCTGAAAGCTCACAGCCCGGTGCCCCCACGCCCCCTGCTGGGCCAACCAGGGCACCGCTCGCAGACAGACGGGTGTTGGGAAGTCCAAGTGATGGGGCTGGTGAGGGCTCCTTCCGCTCGGTCCGAGCACAGCTAGGCCTCCTTTCCGCCTCCCCCCTCCCCACACCTATCCTCACAGGCGGCGCTTCAAACTAACGCTGAGGCGGGTACATAGGGGGCTTAGCAGCATCGTACATCAATGCTGGTGTCCATGGAAGGATCAACTGGCTCCTCAGAGGCAGAGAGTCTACTGCCCAGCGTAGAAAAATAAATCAGTGTATGAAACCAAGCCAGGGCGAACAGCAGCTTTTAAAAAGTTATCTTCCAATAAATAATTTACTACAGAGGAATATTCTCCTTTAACATGAAAACACTGATAAGTTCAGAAGTTCTTTTTGTAAAAAAAATATGTTTATTTACTCACATGTATAAAAATAAGGTTTTTAGGGCCATTCTCTCCTGAGTGTGGTCATGTCCTCCTTTTGGAGAGGGGGCTAGGGGTGACCTTGTAGGGCCCAACCCGAAAGCTATACCTGTTCCCCTCTCTTCCCACCTGCCTGCCACAGCCGTTCCTTCCTTCTGGTATGAAGAAGCTACAGAAGAAACTACGGACACAATTCTGCTGAGGCTTTTAGTTTTCTTTTTGCAGCTCACCACACCTCTAGCGCTCCTGCTGACTGCATCCCCCCGATGCCTGACACCCAGCGCCCTGCACCAGGTGGGCACCGACACCTGCCGGTCACGCCGGCCCTGGGTTCAGACCACGTTCCTGCCGCCCACGGCCCAAGGCCTTGTGGGTGAGCAGTGAAGGGACATGAGGTGACCTGGGTATGAGTGGCACAGGACCTGACACAGGAAGGAAGCATTTTGAAGTCAAATTAGGGTGGGAAGGGGAAAACAAGAAGTCTCAATTTAGAAACAAAAACGCCATTCGACATTTGCAAAAAGCTGTTATCAGTAAGCCTTCCAGTGCGGAGGAAGGCGGGGCAGACTGGACGGCAGCTTCCCCGGGCGACAGGGGACCGTGCTCAGTGCCTGAGTCAGGGCTGGGCTTCTGCTCCGGCCGCACCACAAAGGGCTTCCGCACTGTAAGCTCCCGTTACGTGACCCTCTCCTTCCCTCTAGTTCATCGAACGTGCCCGCACATGTGTGCACGAGGAGGAACTGCGTAAGAGAAGGGCGCGGGGGCGGGGGGAGACAGCAAGGGAGGGACGGAGAACGTTCATCGAACGTTCCGACGGGCTGAGTGTTATTGAAAAGGCCACCGCCCATCTGAAGACCCCTGATTCTCCTTGCCCCAACAGTCCTCCCGTGCTGCCCCTGTTCCGGGGTGGGGGCAAGGGGAGGGAGGACTGACTTTCCTCGTCAAAAGGCAGTTTGTACATCTCAGCAGAAAAGCAGAGACAATCGTGGTTATATACCAATTGCTTGGCAGACACAGTGACACAGACTCACTAGAGAGAAGGTGCTTTCTCCTCCCTTTGTCCTTCTCTTACTCGAACAGCCACATGTCAAGGTTCGGCCTCCCTCGAGACACAGGGCCGAGTCCCGGGGCTCATGGAACTAACTGCCTTTTCGTACAAGGTTAGAACAACCACAGCCTTCATCTGTGGCCCCAATGCTGCAGCTACACCCCGGACAGCAAGGGGTAGGGACACCGCAATGCACAGACGCACACACACAAACACACAAACACAAACACTCCCTTCACTGGTGTCACCATGCACAGAAACACTAAAGTCACAACTAGTATGAACATTTCACATTATGAGTATTGTTTCCAAAGAGAAGTGATTCATGGAATTAAAACATCCACAAGAGTTAACTCCTCTGGCAAAGACAGAGGCGCTGGAGGCAGAGATGCGAGGTCACGACTGTGAGTGAGGGATCCACTGAGTGTCCATGGGTCGTCCCAGGAGTTCCTCGACGCGGCGTGCCACGTCCATTGTGTCGTCCAGATCGAAGTCTCCATCGGTGTCGAGGACGGGGTCAGGGCTTGGGAGAGAAAGAAAAGAGATGAGGGGCCCCGGCTGGCGTAGCCCAGTGGACTGAGCACTGGCCTGAGAACCAGAGGGTTGCTGGTTCGATTCCCAGTCAGGACACAGTGTGGGCTGTAGGCCGAGTCCCTGGCAGGGGCACAGAAGAGACAGCCACACACTGATGCTTCTCTCCCTCTCTTTCGCCCTCTTTCGCCCTCCTTCCCTCTCTCTTTAAAAAATGTTAAAAAAAAAAAAAAAAAAGGAGATGAAGGAGAAGGGAACGGTTGTCAGAGGCCAATGACGAGGAGCAGAGACTGGCTCGAGCCCCGCGCCCAGGCAGGTGAGCGGTCCAAGATTGCCTGTGCTCTCGGCCCAGGCTTCACGGGAAGAGAACCACTTCTGCTCTCAACGCTCGGGAGTGGAGTCCTTCGCTAGCTGGACGGAGGCTCAGACTGAAATGCCCGCCCTCTGCTAACCATTACGCTGCACACCTGAACTGCCCCCGCTCCGCCCACCACCAAACTAACATCTGATCGAATCTCTCCCTCCCACTTGGGCACATGCCAGAGCCTGGCCTGGGTCGGGTGGTCTCAGACCCAGAGGAGCTCTGCGTTCCTGGCCCGCCAGCCCTCCTGGGGTCCAGCCTGAGGCCAGCTGCCCAGTTTCCACCCCCTACCCCACGAAGCCCCGGAAGAACACGACCTACTTCTGGGGGTACATGTTATAATGAGCCTGGGGACACACAGCGGGGGAGGGAGCCTGGTCCATGTAGGTGGCACTGCCCCCAGCGGAGTCTGCAGATGTCACAAACCTGTAGGAGGAAGCAGAGCAGAGCCTCAGCGGCCTCGGGGCAGCAGTGGACTTGGGGAGGGGCCCTGGGGGCACCTGTAGGTCTTTTTCGGGTGTAGGAGGACCACCCGTCCAAGGGGCCCGGGGCTCCAGCTGCAGGAGTGGGGCCCTGGGGACTGGCCTCGTGGTGACCAAGCCCAGTTCCCGCCCCAGGGCTGAGCCAGGTTTTAGGGGGAGGGGAACGCTGGGCCCCTGAATGGGAGGGGGCGGTGGTGAGGGGTGAGGACAGCCAGGGGAGGAGAGAGGCGGCAGGAGACCAGGGCTGACCACTTACTCAGGGACCACTTGCTTGATCTGTGGCTTCACGTATCCGTCCACTGCTTTAGCTGCCGAGGGGGGAACGGTGATGAGAACCAAAGTTCTCAGATGAAATAAAAATGAAATCTCCCTTATGCATCACACCTTTTCTTAGGATAGGATACGACCCCGAAATTTTATCTTAGGATCTAATGTGAGCACTTCACATTTTACTCTGTCAGGACGACCTGGCACAGAGAGGTTTCAACACTGAAACTGTGAGTCAAGAGAGAATTCCCACTGGCTTGGATGTGCTTACGCATTCTTCAAACCATGGGAAATATGTACTTCAATACAAGTCGAGACCAAGCATCAGCACGTACCAATTGTGAAAAGAAAAGAGACTTCTAAGGAGTTCAGTCGCAGATGCAGGAGGAGGGCAGGACTTGCCCTGTGTCCCACAGAACAAGGTGGGGAGCAGCAGGCAAACTGAGAGGAGGACAAACCCCCAGTGACAGAAGGGAGAAGGTCGCCAGACTAGACCGTCCCCCAGAAGAAATGGGCTGTCTTGGGAAGAGCTTGTTCCTTTTTGCTGGGGGTTTTCGAGCGGAAGGTGTACAGACACTTGCCAGGGATCGCCCAGAAAAGTCTACTAAGCATTAGAGAGGAATTGATCGGACTTGCCAATCACAGAAGTTACTCTGAGTGTCTACTCTTAGGAGAGGGACTGTCATCCAGGCACCCGCATCTGGGGTCATCTGATTCCAGGGAGCACAGCCTATGCCTTGTGGCTGGTAGAAAAGCTGGCGTGGGTCTCCCTTCCACGCACCACGGCACCCACTGGGGCGTGGCAGGCCACGGGAGGAACCCGACAGTGACCTGGTCAGCCATAGGTATAGCTTTTTAAAAGGCTGACTGTGGAAATCCGGTTAAGGAGGTGGCAGGAATGTGACTGTGTGAAGCCAGCGAGTGAAGTCTAGTTTCCCGGGACTGGGGGTTTGGGAGTAAGTTTGGTCCTGACTCTGGCGGACTTGTGAAGACCACGTCACGGTCAGCAGGGCGTGGCAGCCTGAGATGGTGACATGCTGCATGGCCTGCAGACTGCTTGGCGTCCTAACCTGCTTCTCGTGGGCTTCAAACGTCAGGGGCTACCTTTTCATAATATCGCATGTTTTCTGTGCTTTACAGTCTACAGAGAATTTCACAGATGGGCAGAAAAGATAAAAACCAAAGAAATGCTGTAAAAAATAGGATTTAAAAATCTGGATGAGCTGTGCTAACAAAAAGAAGCAGTGACAGATATAATCCAAAACAGCATATAAATCTAAAAACATTGTGGCTTATTTTCCCACCTAGAAATAGAACTGTCCCACTAGGGCAGGGAGGCAATGTGTTCAGGGGACAGGTGGGCAGCTTGGGCCATGCAGCCCCGTTACAAGGCTCCGCAAAATAAACCTTCAGCAGAATAAAACTTACATGGTAAAAGAACAATGACCGGCTGAGAAAAATATTCGCTGTATGTAATAAAGGGTTTATTTACTATAAAAACTACTTACGCATCGTTAAGTAAAAAAGAAACTGCAAAAGGAAGACACGAGGAACATGAACGCACCTCACGGGAAACAAATACGAATGGCCCATAATGTCGAGGTTAAAAAAATACAGGTCTGGTGCCAGACCCTCTGAACTCACAGCCTGGCTTGGCCTCTTCCTAGCTGTGTGACCTTTGACAAATTATTGACCTCTCTGTGCCTCAGTTCCCCCTGTGTAAAAGGGGGCCATTAATGGCACCTGCTTCCCAGACCTGTTTTGAGGAGTAAATGAGATGCTGCATAAAAATATACCCGGAAAAGGACTTGGCGTGTGAGTAAGCATGCAACAGATGTTAGCTGCTCCTATTGTCCTACTTATTATTGTTTTTGCCCTCAGATGAAAGGGCGTTTTGGCCTGACCTAGAGTCAGAGAAATGGAAACGGGAACCGAGATACCACTTTGTGCCGATCAGACGGCCAAGCCCGAGACGGACGAACAGAGTCTGCGGCAGGCGGGAGGAGGAGCAGACACCCGGGAGGGGCGGGTGAGGATGGACGCCGCTTCCTGGAGGGGGGCTCTGCCAGGATGTGTCCACATGTTTTAAAAAGTGTGAACTCAAGCCCTAAACGGTGCTTTAGGAATTTATCCTCAGCAAATTGAACAAGAGGCGCGTACCAGGTTATCTCAATATGAATCATGACCAGTAGCTGTAAGAAATGAACAACTGGGACCATGTTATGTGGAATCGCCCTACGATGGAATTCTATGCAATCATTAAAACGATGCTGTATGATTATATGTACTGACCTGTAACTCTGCCTGATATACTTTTATGTTAAAAAAAAAAAAGGGTGTTGGCTGAGGGTCACACTGAGCTGTGAGCGGCTTCAGGGGTGTCTTTGGGAGTCAGCAACATGGCAGAAGATACCACGGCCGAAATCAAGAGCCACACGACTGCCCCTTCTGACAGCCGCTCTCCCAGCCAGACCAGACTGGGGACTGTCGGCTGAACAGCCAGGACTTCCCCCGTTGAGGCAGCAGTGACTGCTAAAGGGGGTGGTGTCTCCACGTGCAAAAGGTGCCAGCACATGTTCAAGTCCCCTTGCCCCTTAGCCTGAGTGTCGGCCTGGGGTGACCGCCGGGCAGAAGGCATGTTTCCTGGGAAGATCTGAACTGGCTGCACCCCACCTGTCCTCTGTCTTCCATCCTTCTCCCAGGGAGGTGAAAGGGGGCCTGGGTACCCCCCATCCTAGGATCCTGAATCATGGCCTAACAATAAATGCTCGTTGGGAAAAACGTCAGACCCCGGCAGCTGACGTGTGGCACAATCCCACGTGCTCTGGCCCCTGCCCCGCTCCGCCCTTGTTCTCCCTCTTTCCCTGCTCAGCCCGCTCGGGACTCCAGACCCTCTTGAGGGTTTTCAAACATGGCAACCTCATTTCCATCTCAGAGTTCCTGCGCCCGTTCTCTCAGCCTAGAATGCTCTCTCTCCAGCTCTTCAGACAGAGCGCCCTCACTTCATTCGGATCTATTCTGATGCCGCCCCTGGGGAAACCTCCCGGACCGCTCTCCAAGTCCTGAGACAGAAATGTGGTTGGCGTGTTGGGAGCCCCGAGCAGGGCCTGGGCGGCCAGAGCCGGGTGAGCAGGGGCAGGAGGCAGAGGCAGCAGGGCAGACACCCCCCAGCCCCTCCTGTTGCCTCTCTCTTCCTCTAACCACGCATCTGTGTCTTCCCGGCTCCCCGCCCTACGTACACGCACTGATCTCTCTACTTCTTTACTGTCTCCCTTCTGCCGCAGGTTTTCACCTCCACGCAGCAAGGGCCTCGTAAGCGTCCCATGGCCGGCTGACTGAGAGCAGGGTGTGCACCGACACAGACTGGGAAAACACTCACTGAATCACCTATGGTGGTTCATCCCTACTTGAGAAGTGCTGGGTGATATGTGGTTTTCTATACTTGTCTGGAAACTTTCCAATAAACTTATAATACTTTTAACATTCAGAAAACAAAACCGTCTATGTTTTGAAAAGCAAAATGTTACCTTCCTGAGTGTGTCTGACCTAAGCTTGTGTTAAAAGCCATTTGTTCCCTGCAGTTTGATATTTGGGGTGAGTGGTAGGTGCATTTTCTGTGTGTCTGAAGAACACAGCCCGGGGTTTACCTCTGCCCTGGATGACGCTCAAACAGCAACGACTCTGTGCCAACTGTGCTGGTTTTCATGAGAGACAGACAGACACAAAAAACGAAAACATAACCAGAACGCGACAAGCCCACAGCAGAATGCAAACATGGTTACCAGTGGCGGGCTCGCATGTAACCGGGGTGTAGTACTTGGCGTATACTTCATCTTTGGGCCGGTCGGGGAACACGTAGATGAGGTAATTCAGGTCCCCCAGGCGGTCGGCCAGGGATCGGATGGAGAAGTCTCTAGTGGTAAAAGGCATCAGGTTCCAGAACATTCTTTCCTCTAGATCGATAAAGACAACAGTTACATTCTAAACATGATTTCTGAACAGGAGATCTTAATACTCCCCTATACTAAAAACGAAACATCGCCGTTCAAATTGCACCAGTAAAAATCTCCGTTTTAGAGTGACCACAGGTTACAGAGCAAGTAGTTGTTTCTCGGAGCCACGGGGAATGCACACGCCGCCTCCCTGGAGACCCAGTGACCTCCCTTAGGCAGCTTCAAGTTCAAACGGTGTTCTGTCTCTTTCTAGAGGACACTTCTCATCGCCTCCCTGATTCCCTGTGCAAAAGGACGTGAGAGAGAAGGCACGTCCACAGCCAGAGGACGTGCGGGCACTACGAAGGGGCACTAAATCTCTAAGTCAAACCAACAAAACAGAACAATACTCAAAAGCTACTCGTCTTACTGTGAGGGTCAGAGGAAAGAACCAACACTCTGGCGTGAAAATGACCCAGGACATAGGTATCCCTGTGTTAGTCAGTATACATGAATAACTGAAGCAGCGAGTTATTTCTGGGCTAGTGACGCCAGTCTATCCAAGTAACGCTTCTCCGGGATGAGCTGCGGGTTGAGCAGCATGAAGGGGACTTTTCAGTGGGGAGGCGGCTGAGGTTCGGGACAGGCCACTGCACTGCAGATTGCTGCGTCTGGGTCACACAACTGTGTTTCTTGAAATTAGGACTTGTGTTCTCCTCAGTAAGGTTTTACACAGGGCCACACATCTGTTCTGTACTGAGGGCCCCCGCGAATAATAAGTACTCAACAAACCATGTTAAAGTAATTTTGCAACAGAAGCGGTTAACTCGGGCCATCTTGGCTCTACCCTTGAAAAGGGAGGGGCACTCACGGGAGTCGAACTTCCAGGCGATGGTGATGCCACCGATTTCAGAGTCACTGAATCTCAGCAGGAAGGTCCCATCCGGCTTGTTGATGAGCAGGTCGTGGGCTTGTTGCTTGTTCACAAAACCCAAGATGGCCCTGGGTCACAGAGGTCAAAGGAGCAGAAGCAGAGTGTGATTTTTTTTTTTAAAACTCCAGAAAGACAACCTTCTTACTCTATTGCTGACTTGAGAAATGACAGTTCTTACCCATCATTCCAATGAGGCTTGAGATGTTTTTTCAACACTTCCATCACCCCATCGAACCACTGCCAGAAGGTGTAGTTCCGCCCCGGTAAATTCTCCTGGTCGGAGGCACAAGAGGACACGATGAGGCAAAAGGCAACACTCGGAGCGGCACCTGCACACACTTGGACCGAGGAAACTCAAACGGCAGACAAACATCCGCTCTGCCAGAATCAGGCCAACATAAAGGCCCGTCTGAGTCTCCCCAGATGAACGGTTCAGACACCGAAGGACAGACGGGACAAGCACGCGGAGGAAAGCAGCCCGGTGCCCTCCCTGGACCCTGCTGCGCGCGCCTTCCCCCTCTCGGATGTGGGGTTTGTAACCAGTGGTGGCAGCATCACCCAAGAGCTTCTGAGAAATGCAAGTTTTGAGGCCTCATCTCAGATCTACTTAACCAGAGCCTGCGTTTTAACAAGACGCCCAGGGTGCTGTAAATGTGAACTGGATTAAATGCCACGGGCAGGCCACAGAGACTGGCCCGTCCCGCAGCAGTTGCCAGTAACCCCCAGAAAGACGGAGTTATCTGATCTCTCTGCACCCCTTATCAAAATGCCCCCGACTGCCTGCGAACACGTCAGCCGACTGGTCAACAAACACACCACCATTCAAAAGGGTCACACTCAGAGACGATGAGATCTCTGAATTAGGGCTTTAAAAATACTGGTAGTGGGGGGGTGGGTATTAAGGAGAGAAATGAAAGTTAAATTTAAAATCAAAGATGTGACAGGTGCCATCTGAGTTACAGATGCCGGAGGAAAAGTTCCCTTCATGGGCGCTGCCTTAGGTGGGCCCAGGGGCCCACGGGAGGCCGGCTCCGCATCACGCACCGGGGAGCACCAAATCCGGGGGACGGCGCCAGACGCTCTGGTCGCCACCAAAGCTCCACTTCCCGCGAGTTACGTGAACATTGGCTTTGTCTGCTGTTTCCTTTACAAAAAGCACAGCTGCACGTGAAGCTCACTGACGTATTCAAACAGACGGCTTTCTACACAAAAACATGCGGTCGTCTGTCTACTCAGCAGCTTCCCACTACTTTGGGCACATTTTACTGGAGACGGAAAGCACAGGGCGGGGGAGGGGCGACTCTTGAAGGCGTCCGGCGGGTCCCGCCGCGGTCCCTCACCCTGTTGAACTGGGACCAGGACACGGACATGCCGCTGTAGTCCTCCAGGTGGTTGCTGCTGCTGCTGAACAGTTTCTGCGCCAGGAACACGAGGTTCTCCTTGGTGAGGCCCCGGTTGCTCTGCACTTCGGCCTTGAACTTCATGTTGAGCGCCTCACACAGCTGCGGCCACAGCACTTTGTCAGGCACGGCAAACGGCACCCTGCCCTGGGAGGGACACACAAGCCAGAACCTCATGAGAAAAGAGTTGCATGATTTATTCCCTCAACCTGCAAAAAAGACAACAAATTAAAAAAACCCAAAAAACATTAATGGCTGGACGTAGTTACAAACGTTTGTCTCAACTGAGCCTGAGGATAAAATTCAAACCTTCCTGGGACATGCTGTTCCGGGAAACTCAGACGGTTCGGTTCGTTTTACCCTCTTTGCACACAATGTGAGGCGTGACTGCCTGCAGTCTACGGGGCTCTGTAATGAGCTGGTGAGCGTCTGATCCAAGCCTATGTTCTCACAGCCACAAAAAGCAAAACATGACCGAGGTCTGTCCCTTACACTTGGACTGAGTGGGAACAGCGATCCGAAACACTGGTTCTCTAGGTACAGAGAGAGAAATGTGTGTGTGTGTGTGTGTGTGTGTGTGTGTGCAAGAGTGCATGTGTTCATACAGGTGTGTGCGCAACTGTAACCCTTGCCTTTGACACTTGCCGACAAAGAGCTGCAGCTCAGAGTGAAACCGTTTAAGGAAGAAGAGTCACTGTGAGTACGAAGGGTTTAGTAAAAACAGGTCGGAGTATGTATTTTTAAGTAACTGCTTTTCATCCTGTTTGGCCGTTGTACTTAATTTTAATTATTATAAAACTGTTTTTGGAAAAAGAAATACTTTTGCATAGGAAATCCTACACGATACAAAAATCTGAAAGTACGGAGGGCCTGCCCTGACCAGTGTGGCTTGGTTGGGTGGGCGTCATTTCTTGAGGTGAGAAGGCCCCTGGTTCCATCCCCAGTCGGGGCATGTGCAAGAGGCAACTGATGGATATTTCTCACATCTGTGTTTCTCTCCCTCTTTTTCTCCCTCCCTTCCCCTTTCTCTAAAAATTAGCAAATAAAATCTTTTATCCTATTCCTGTTCCTTAGCAACCCAGTTCCTCTCCCTAAAGGTGTGTGATCTAGTTTCTTGTCTACACCCCCATGAGTATTCTGCACAGGCCAGCAAATGCATATCATTTTCCCCTGTACATTTAACCACACCTCCACAGATGGGTATCCATGCATCAGCCTTCAGTCTTTAGCTAGGCAGTATGGCAATGCAGTTATACTGACTTATGCAAAAATATACCTATAAATTCCTACAAGTATGCACTTATTTTAAACCAGCACAAGATGCGCAGTAGTTATTGACATACTGGGAATGTTAAAAACGCTTATACTTATTTAGTCGAGACACTTCAGCAACGACCTACTGCAGGAGATGCCAAAGACGCAGGAGCAGAGGCGTGCAGACAGGGGTGCGGACAGGCGTGTGGACAGGCGGGGAAGGGAGCGGGGATGGGGCCGTCCTGTCCGGGGGGCTCATCAGGATAGGCTGAAGGCAGAGAGTTCCTAAAAGGAGTCTCAAACTAAGGGTTTGTCGCCCAAGTGTAGTAGAATTGCTGATAAAAATCGCGCCTCAGGAGGGAATTTCAGGGGAAAGGGGGAAGAAGAGATCACAGGAACAAGTACAAAGGACACATGGACAAAAACTAAGGGGGTGGAAATGGGAGCAAGGTGGAGAGCACTGGGGGGGATGATCTGGGATGGGAGTAAAAGACAGAAAACTGTACTTGAACAACAATGAAAAGAAATACATTTTTTAAAAAGTTGCGCCTCTGCAGCAAAAACATTCTCTCAAGAAAACTGTTGAGAATGTAAGACTGTTCATGTTAGAGAAGAACACACTTCCATACCCCAAATAACAAGCCTAACCCCCTCCGTGACACCTTTACGGACCCCTCTCTGCTGGGAACACGCCCGCCCATAACGTGCTGCTGGGAGGCTCCGGGAATGGAACGCTCGTGGAGTGGCCCCCAGTGGCTCGCAGACAGCACCTGTGTGCGCGACCCCAGAACATCGAGTGGTCACCCTTAGACAAAGCGTCTCATTCTTCATGAGAGACCTGGGATGAATCACAGAATCTAAAACCTGGAACTGACATTAAATGTCGCCCTCGTTTGTTGGAAGGAAGACGACAGGAAGCACGTTCTACGCTGAAGTAACCTCCTGGGAGGTCTAAGCCCTGGAACAGCGGCCCCCAACACTTCTGGCACCGGGGACGGGCTTTGTGGAAAACAGTTTCCCACGGACGGGGTGTGGGAGGGGAGAGACAGGAGGTGGAGCTTATGCGGTAATTAGGGCAGCGTCCATGGAGGGAGAGGAGAGAGGCGGGGACCCTGCCGAGGAACCCGAGTCCCAATTTCCGTTTACGGTTTCCCCCAAGGATTCAGAACAACACTTACGGAGCATGTCTGTGTGCCTGGCGTTTTATCTAATGTAATCTCCCTGAAAACCACGGAGCACTGTCATCCCCGTGCTGCAGACGCTTAGGGGACCCTTAAGCTCAGGGAGGTAGAGTGAATGTCCCAAAGCCACAGAGGAGGGACAGCTGGCGCTGGCGTTGGGGTACCGGCCTGCCTTCCAGCCCGGCCCCTTCTCATTTCCTGCGAGCGCTCTCTGCTGCCTCCCACCAGGAGAAAGGGCGTTTTCCTACGCTTTTTGAGGATGACACACGAAAGAGGCCCATGACCCCAGCATCAAGATCTCGAGCCCACAGGCCCAAGGAACCCACTCACAGGCTCTGCAAAGGCATTGTCCCACAGAACAGTGGCCGTCGCGTTGTTGTCCTGGCTGCCGTGGACGATCACCACCACCGGGAGGGACAGGGTCTGCAAAGACACGGGACACCGGCTGAGCCCCCGCGGGCGGCGCCGCGTCCTGCCCCTGCTCTTCTTTTCTTCCATCACCGCATGTTCATTCTTCCGGTTTCCGCGCATGTCGCGCTCGGACCCGAAGTGAGAACCGCCCAGGGACACTGAGACTTTTCCACACTGGCACAGGCTTAGACAATTTGGGTGCAATAAGAGGTTTTACTAAATAGCTCTGAAGGATGGGGTAAGCTCTCTAAGTCACGTGGAGCACCAGAGAGAGGAAGGAGAGCATGGAGATGTTTCCAGGAGGGAGAAAAACCAACAAGTACAAACATCTTCTAAAACTGACTACAACCGTTACTCAGATTCCTGAGTGATGTTTCTCCTCGTTCATTGTCTACCTAGACTTCCAGCCGCTTCAGTTTATCATTGTTGGCTCCTTCTCAACAGAAGCTAAAAGACACAGTTCTGAGGATGAGGTCTTCTCACTTTTGGTTCGTCAGTTACCAGAGAGAGGACACTAACGGTGATCAGAACAATTCTTCTGGGATGCAAAGTCCCCCACACACACACTCACGCACACCAACAAGGGCTTTACCTTGACTTGAAACACCAGCTCATTTCCACCAACGCTGAACTGTGATTCAAACAGGATTGTGAATTTCTCTTCTGTCACCGACTCTGCTCCGCGACGATCAGACCTCTTGATTCGTTTCAGGGACTGAAAAGGAGAAAATCACTGTGACAAAGACTCAGACAACTGGGGACACTGCGTTGCCCGTCTCCTTCCAGCCTCACCATGTTTCTGAAGTGGGCGCTGAGCGTGCCGGTGGCCTGGTGATACTCCATGACACAGCAGTTGTTCAGGATCTCGCCACTGTAATCACTGCGAAGCAGACAGGGGCGCGGCTCTAAATCCACACGGGCCTCAGCGCCCGTGGGGCAGAAATACGCTTGGGGTGGGAGGAAACTCAGAAGGCACTTAAAAACTTGTCATTGAGAGGAAATATCAGCTTTAGAACACGTAAAAAAATAAACATAAAACATACAAAAAATTCTCTTGAACATATTCCTAAAAGGGACAAAATCACACTATCTTTGCAGAAGTTCGCCCTTAAATTCCTTCTCTGACAGCCAGAACAGGCCAGAAGGGTGACCAGGATCCCCACACAGACCAGCTGACCCCAGAAGCTCCCTTCAGGGAACCAGGCCGCCGATTCCCAGGGCTGAGGACAGGGGCAGACACGAGAAGGGACGTGCGTACTTGCGGGTGTTCTCGTTCTTGAGCAGCGACTTGGCCTGCTGCTCACTGATGATGGTGGCCTTCACCTGCGGGGGGTTCATGTGCACGTTCAGCTTCCCGCCCACCAGCAGCCGCACCGTGGCTGCGAACTTGGTCTGGGTCTTCAGGACCTGCGGGGGCTGCTTCTCGATGATGAATGTGCTGCAGGGACACGAGAGGCGCGGCCTCAGGGACGGGGGCTCGCACGGGGCTCAGCAGGCAAAGGAAGGAAGAGCACCGGGCAGGCAGACACCCTGTTCCGGGGAGGCCACTGAGAGCTGGGGGGAGGCGGGAGGGGAGCCAGTGAAATGACCTTGGCATTGGGCAGAGGCTGGGGGAAGCCAGGGCAGCCCCTAGGGAACTCACAAGAGGAGCTGGGAAAGGTCAGCACCAAGCAGTCATGGTTGCCAGGGAGACAAGGATTCAAGCACCAGCCTGCCATGGGCAAAGCACCCCCAGCTTCCCACCCCATCCCACCCCTTCCCTGCCGACCACATGCAGGGCTGGGTGTGGCCGAGGGGCAGCAGTCACCTGGTCACCAGGGCTGAGATGATGTCTGTGATGGTGGCATTGACCTCGGCCAGCATCTCCTCCACTGGGCCGGGGATGGGCAGCTGCTGGCAGAGGTGCTCAGCTCTGCGGATCTGCTGCCGGTTCTGCCAGATGATCTCAGCCAACTTCTCACACCTGCCCACGAGCCCCAGGCCACAGGGAAGGACAACGGCTTCACCCCATCCCCCAGGACACAGGTGGAAAGGCTCCCAGCCTGGGACCAGCCCCCAAAAACCCAGCCTTGCCCCCACCCGGGAAGGTTTCACCCTTCGGCCACCTCTCCTGTGTACTGAGCACAGCAGAGAGGCCCTGCCTTCCAGAAACACAGAGAGACACGTGAGAGGTGTCACCCTAAATGGACCCCACCAGCCGGAACCTCACCCTGCACCCCGGCCCTGCTCCACTCCCCAAAACAGTGACTCCTGTCCAGGGAGGGGCAGGACTGGGGGCACCAAGTCTGTGTCAGGAGCCAAACCCACGGGGGAAATGAGACCTGCCACAGGCCAGAGTGGGCCACCCGCCTATGAAACACAGGAGCAGAGTAGGCAGCTGGGAGCTCCTCCTGGGCCCAGGCCGACCCTGCCCGCCTGTGCCCTGCCCGCGCCCCCCACACCCAGTACCAGGACTGCAGCACGTCCAGGCTGCCCTCAGGGGGCCCTCCGTTCCCGGCCAGCTGCTGCCGCCGCTTCCACTGGATCAGCTCGTCGTCCAGAATGACAGTCTGCTGCTTCCGCAGCAGCTGCAGGGTCTTCTGGTGCTTCTCGGCCAGCTCCTGAGACAGGGGACAGACAGCAGGCCCTTCTGGGCTCCGGGACCACAGCCCTGCAGCGCCTCTCCCGGGGGCGGGGCTGCCCGCTCCCACCCTGCTCCTCCTCCCAGGCCCCCCGCAGGCCTCCCGCGTCCCCAGGGCCTGGCCGTCCTGCCGGCTCGACCCCTCTCTGGCGTGTCCTCCCTCGGGATGTGGACCCGCGCCTGGAGGGCAGGGACGAGGCCCACTCACCACCCGGTACTGCTGCAGCGTCTGGGCTTCTCGCTGCAGCCAGGCCTCCAGGGACACCTGCTTCTGCTGGAGGGCCGTCTCCCGGCTCAGACGCTCCTGAGGGTTCAGCTGGGCCAGCTGGGCAAACTGAGCTAGAGGAGGGGACGGGACAGCCATGGCCATGATCTCCCAGCTTCCAGCTCGCAACACCCTCAAGCTGACACGTCTTACCAATGGCACCTCAGGGCTCTGGTGGCCCAGGGTGCTCACAGTGAGCCCGCCCCACTCCCTGGCCCCTGCTCTGAGCTCCCTCTAGAGACAGGGAGACAAGCCTGTGGGTCCAGCTGAGGACCCCGCCCTGGCCCGCACGGCTGGCTGCCCGGCCTTCCTCACGCCACACTGGGGTCCAGCCTGATGCCACACTGCACAGTTCGAAGTCAGCTGCGGCCGTTCACTGCCTCGGTGCACTCGGGCTCCCCACGAGCAAAATGGGAGAATCCTGTTCCCGGCCGCAGTGGGTTGCCATGGGGATTACAAAACGGTCACACAGAAAATGCTGGAGAGGCACGAGCAGCTCTCGGCCCCAACCTCCCCCCAAACCCCCTCAGGGAAGGCCTGACGCGCGCAAGGCCGGGGGCCACCTGCTGGGGCACAGGAGGGGCCCTCAGGGAGGAGGGCGTGTCTGCGTGTGTGAAGGGGCCTCACGAGTTTGTGTGCTCGGGTCACTGTGAGCTCAGCTGCCCAGCAGGGAGAGAGAAGGGAGAGGACAGACTAGAGAGGGAGAGAGAGACTCTGACAGAGAGAGAACGGGAACCCAGGGCCACGAAAAAGCCGCAAGATTCCCTCAGGAAAAGGAGGCAGCTCGCTTCCTACCAGCTTCAGGGAGCTCACCAATGGCCGGACTAGGGACTCAGTGAGACCTCATTACCCTTATTTAAAAAATAAGTTATGATCCGTAACTGCTGTGGTTCAGTAGATTGGGGTCACCGGTTCGAGTCCCTGTCACAGCACATGCATGGGTGGCAGGCCAGGGACCCAGATGGGGGCGCCCTAGAGGCAACTGATGGATGTTTCTCTCCCATATCCATGTTCCCCCCCTCCTTTCTCCCTCTCTAAAAGTAAATATATAAACTCTTTTTAAAAATAAGTTACGAAATGCTTAAGACATCAGGAAGGTAGAAAGAATGACAGAAAAAACACCTGTGAACCCAGACCCGGCTTCAGGAATCAAACATCTGCACAGCGACAGCCACCCGCCCCCACCCCGCAGCCAGCAGGCCCACCCTCCCGCCACTGAGGGACCCGCTCTCCTGCAAACCGGGGGACTGCGCCCTGCCAGGAGCCTTTGGGACACCCGGTGTTCTGACTCGGCCGGAGTCAGGAAGACGTGAGCATCAGCACGTCCGGGCCAAGTTCCGGGCCAAGTTCTTGGCAGGCCTCGCGGGCCCTGCCTCACTGACCTGGGCCCACTGACTCAGCGCCTGCGGCGTCCGGGCCACGTGCTGGCCTCGGGGACAGGAAACACTGACCAGGTGGGGGGCGGGGCAAAGAGGCAAAGGAGAGGAGAACCCTAGAAAATTAAATAATCAATTAAAAAAGCAGAGAGAAAACTGATACAGGACAAAACTGAGAGTAGATACCAAGCAGGGACCTCAACGCCAGTGTGTGAAACGTGACATTAAATGCTGGTGGACTGAACACCTTCATCCAAAGGAAGACAGTCGGGACCGACACAAAGCCAGGCAACGACGTGCTGTCTGTGTTTCCAATGACAAAAGTGCGGACGCACACACGCGGAGCCGACCTGGGACCAGAGGCCAGAGAGGTTCTGGGAACGCCTCGCACAGCAGACTGAAGACCGGAGGTCAGGAAGGGTGTGTCGCAATTATTAGTGACCGTAAACATATATGAATCTACTACCAAAGCTTCAAAGTAAGCACAGGACATATTATTCACTGAGACAACGGGACAAGCACCCGGTTCCACGGAACCACAGGGGATTCGGGCGCCTCTCTCCCAGCAGCTGACGGAGCCGCTCGGCTGAACGTAAATAACTAAACACAGACAGACAGACATACAGAGCATGTTCTCTGACTCAGTGGAACTCAGTCATGAAATGAAAATAAAATCAATTCTGACGGGACGGCTAGAGAAGAACACATATTTGGAAATGAACGACGGACGCCCTTCTAAACAGGTGGCACCAGCACCGGAAGAGAAACTGGAGAGCCCCTCACACCGAGTGACAGGGAACGAGTGACAGAGAACACGCAGGGCCGGCAAAACCGCGAGACGCCGCGGCAACTCTGCTCAGTGGGAAACTCATGGCTCCGAATGTCTACATGGGACAAGGACAGGAAGGTCTAAAGTCAGTGACCTCAGACTCCACCTGAAGAGGTGAGAAAAAGGGGAGGAAGGGAGAGGCAGCTCGGGGCGCCCGGCTCTGCCTGGGCCCGGGAGGTGCAGCCTGGGTCAGTCTGGGGGGGGGAGACGGGCCCCCATTCAAACTCCTCAGACTGTGCCCCGGGCTCGCTCCCGGGAGCTGATTTTTCTGTCCCCACACCCTTGTCATGGCATCACAGCAAACTACAGACTAGGGGTTGGGACGACTTTCCACTGTCACCCCCTCCTGCCAGCTCTGCCTCCTGGAAGGGAGGCTACAGAACTCGAAGCCCCGAGCCCCACCTCTCCCGGCCCGGCTCAGCCTCGGGACTCCCAGCCCGCGCTCCCCCTCTCACTGGGGGGCACTCTACCCACACTCTACCCACACTCACTCCTCACTCGCTCACTCACTCAGATATTCGCTTGACCACCTACAACTAGGGAGAGAGCATTAGTGATTACAGCACAGGGATATGATGACATCTCTCTGCAACTTTCAAGCAACACAGGCCAAGTCTCTTGTTCTCTGAACCTCAGTGTTACCGTCTGTGAAGTGGGGATAATGCCGCTGCCTACACCCTGGAACTGTTATAAGGGTTCCACTGAATCACACTTGTGAAGGGGGGTGGCCATAGGAGGGGCCGTCTCCTACAGCCATTACTCTTCCCAGATTTTGGGGAAGGTCCCCCGGAAACAGACAGGGCCCCAGCCCCAACCCTGCAGGAGCTGGCAAGGTGGCCCTCCCTCCCTCCCTCCCACCCCACCGATCCACAGCGCACCCCCCGCCCCCCGCAGCAGCCTCACCCTGGATCCTCAGGCTCTCCTGGTACTGGATGATGAAAAACTCCTGGGCCTGCTGCAGCTTCTTCAGCTCGGTCTCCGTGTCCTGCGTGACCAGTCTCAGCTCCTCAAACGTCTGGTTGATCTGCAGGTGTTTCTGGGACATGGCGTCCACCAGGGTTCCAGCAGGAGAGGCACCCTGGGGATACGGCAGATACACGGCTGCAGGCCTGGCCCGCGCCAGAGCACCAGCAAAACGGTACATCTCGATCTCCTGGGAGACACTGCAACTGAGCACAGCCCAAGAGCTCCTGGGTTTTTCTGGTAACGACGATGCTGACGATGCTGACGATGCTGACGATGCTGACGATGCTGCCCTCCGCCCACATTCTTTCCCGGTCAGACCCCAGGGGCTGTGCTGGGAGCTGGGACAGAGGGGGGATAGAGGCGGGTAAACTCACACCACCTCCATCCTCTCTCCAGGCCAATGGGACTGGGGAACAGGGAAGGAGGGCAACCTCTCACAGGGGTGACCTGAAGACCCCAAAGTGAAGTCACGAGGGACAGGGGGAGGCACCATCAAGGGCCTTGGGAATCGAGACATTTAAGTGAGCTGCTTTGAACTTTTCCCAGGCCAAGTCTTCAGGCCTTTCCAGTGAACTGTTCCCAGGGGAAATTCCAAACCCCTCTCCACAGCCCCCTGCCCTGGCAGAGGGCAGCTGCCGCCCTCCGCCCCCAGCCCCACCGCCGCCCAGCACGCTGGTTCCTGTCCATTCCTTCAACACACAGCATGCTCCTGCCTCAGGGCCTTTGCAGTTGTGGGTCCATCTCTCTGGAACACGCTGGCCCCACCTTCCTGACTGCGGACTCCCACTGCCACCATTTCAGAGCAGCCTTCTCTGAGGGCCGAAGGGAAACAGCACCACCCTCGTCTGAGAGCGTCTAGTTCTCGTGTTCACTCCTAGTGTGTTGCGGGCACTGGGACGTGAGCCCTCCCAGTGTGGGGACCACATCTGTCCTGTGCACCCAGAGTCCCCAAGGCCCAGGACAGCAGAGGCTGGGGAAGGAGTGGCTCCCACCCCCCACCTCCGGCCCGGACAGCGCCTGCACCAGAGACATGTCTTTTTGGCTGGAGCCTGAAATACTTGCACATTTGCAGATGGCTCTGTGGTCCCAGTGAGTCAAGGGACAGGAGGGTGGTCCTGCAAGACCCTCTGTGGCCCGGCTCCTGCTTCCTCTCTGGCCTTCCCTGCCAGGGCTCCCTGCTGGGCTCCCTTCTCCCCAGCTGCTCTGGCTACTTGCAAGTCTTCAAATGAGCTAAGGTGGCTCCGGCCTTCCTGCCCTCACATGGAACTCCTGCCCCCCCCGCCCCCCCCCCGCCCCCCGGCCTGCCCCGCCTGCCCTGGTGCTTTCCCACATGCGCCCCCAGCACACAGCCCACTGCTGGAGGACCTGCCGCCACCTGAATCCCTTTCAGGGGCCCAGGTCTCTGTGTGCTTCTCCACACACCCCGGGACCGCCCTCCAGAAACACTCACTGAATGAAGCCCTGCACCAGCCTTCCCAGGGACAAAGGGACAAAAAGGACCACCTGGCTCCAGTTGCCAGTCAGCGGCCCTCACCTGCCTGACCTCCTTCTAGGAAATTCACTTTGTTTTATTCAAATAGTGTGAGGTGTGCACCGTCGTCCGGGCAGATGTTCATGCCTCTGTGACTCCGGAAGGTGGGGGACGAGCCCCGGGCCCGCTCCCTGGGCCTCGCTTCCTCGGCCTGTGCCTGCCTCTGTTTCCTGCCACGGACCGCACCAGACAGGGTTTCTCACTGGCCAGACCCCACTGCTCAGCGACACAGCCTCTCCCTGGTCACCTGTGCCGCCCGCCACCTCTGACCTGGATGGACACTCCAGGTGTCGGGGGGGGGGGGGGTGCTGGGCGCTTCCTCTTCTGTTTCATCGGTCTGTCCATCTATCCCTGGCCTGTGTAGTATCTCATTTAACCTTCACAATAACCCCGCAGGGAGGTACTATTACTGTCCCTACTTATAACTGAAGACACACAGGCTCAAACAAGTCCAGTCACTTGCTCAGGTTACGTGGCTAGGAGGTGGCAAGGCCAGGGCCTGAAGCCAGGGGGTCACTCTATACCTGCAAATAAAACTGCCCCTCACACCCGCTCATGTCCCTGACTCCTCTGCTGCCCTCTCACTCCAGTATTTGTGAGTTGCGGTTGTGTCTGCACAGGAGGGATTCCCGACCCCACTGCCCAGACCCACGGGACACTCACGTTGTTGGCTTCTCGGACCAGCCTCTGTTCATTGTACAGAATGTGCCGGATGCAGCGCACCAGGTCCATGGGGCAGCGGTCGTACGTGTTCTGAAAGGGTCCGAGAGCAGCTACCGGGGCCGTCCCAGTGCTGCACCTGCACCTCCCTCCCCCACGGGAGCCCCGGGACTCTCCCCGGACACCTCTGTGCCACTGGACTTGACCCCCAGCCCCCAGATCTTCATTTGGTTGCATTGCCTTAGGAGCCCCCTGCTCACAAAGCACTTCCAATCCACCAGCCCCTCTGATGTAGAAACCCTGTGACACAGCAGAAATGGCTGTCCCCATTTCAGAGGTGACAAAACTGATACTCAGAGAGGGTAAGTGCGTATCCAGAGGCAGGCCAGTGAGTGAGCAGATGACTCAACACTCTGAGCACCTGGTGCCAAGGTCGAGGTGCTTCCCGCCGTGCTCCAGCCCTGGGTTCCTGCGCTGCTGCCCTCTTCACCCAGGTTTCTCCTGCTGCCTCCCTCTTTGGGGGTGGGCTTCTTGTCTTCCTGGCCCCTCCCCTCATGTTCAAGAATGGTTCTTGGAGAAATACTAATGAGTTCTCATAAATGCTTGACTAGGATTACCACCCACACCCCTTTTCCGCTTCCACAAAAACTCTCTCTCTGCCCCCTCTCTCCACCCCCTTGGGAAGAGGAAGCTACATCTGACATCTAAACCCCAGTTCAAGGCTCTTTCATCCAGTCCTGCCCCCAGGTGAACCCTGCCCCCCTCCTGCCCCACTGCAAGAGCTCTGCCACCTCTCACAGAGCCCCAGGAGGGAAGTCTGGGTGCCTCGGTCCCTCCATTCTAGAACCGCCCAGTCTTCCTTGACTGGGTCTGCTCCACCCCTTCTGTCGCCCCGTCCAGAGTGCCCTTTCAGCCATCCCCTCGTCTCGGGAACCCACCCACCCTTTCCCTCTGCTCTGCCATGGGCTAGAGGAATCCAACGGGTCTGGTTTAGAAAGAGGGGGTGGGGAAAATCGAAGCACCCAATAGTTGCCAATAAGCTCAGGGTCATGTGGTGAGTCACCGGCCAGGCCAGAAAAACCCCCGGTGCTGATGCTGGAAAGAGAAGGTGGCCAGCGCCTGCCTGCAGGTGACCTGGCCTCCACACCCACCTGGAGCTGCGTGGCGTAGTGCCCCAGCTTGATCTTCAGCAAGAACCCGTCTTCCCCCACCTGGTGCTCGGCCTTCTTCTGCAGCTCCTGCACCAGGCCCTCCAGGAGCTGGGTGGCCTTAATGTTCTCCTGTGGATTATCAATATCTATTGAGTCCCTAGGGGAAAGAAATTACATACATATGTATACATACATGCACATGAGCCTATGTAAATGCATCCTCAAGACATCACGCCTCCCTTTGGCTAAAGTCATTTCTACAGAATGCTCTCTGCAAATTTTAGGGAGTTCAATTTAAACTGACTGGACGCCTACATTCGCCAATTCCGAATCCACTAACTACCTCAGTGGACTGCCTAGTAGTTCATTTTCTTTTTACGACACACTGTCCTTGGTCCTTCTTCCTACCGATGTTACGCTATCGCCTGGGAACCAAGGGAGAGGGAAGGCGCTGTGTGGACACAGAAGGAAATGCGGACCCTGACAATCCCGTTTGCAGTTGCCCCTTCAAGGCTGTCAGGGCCACAAGGTTGAGAATGTTCTACATTGTTTCTCCACCCTTGACAATGTTGCTACCTACACATAGAGTGTTTCTGAAGACAGGTGATACAACAGTTGTTGCTACTTCTAAGAAGCCTTGGAAATGAGATGTTAAGACAGAATACGCTTGTAAGTCTTTACATCAGATACAGATTGGGACCCGTAGGCAGCAAAGAAACCACACTGTGGACTTGGTGCTAATTCGGAGCCATTTAACTGGTGGCGGGGTCAGGATGGTGGGTCCTTCCTTCGTTCCCTCCCCGCTCCCTCTCTCCCCCATTCTCAACCCCCTCCCTGACTCTTTGTTTTGTTTTTTAAACAATTTAGGCAACAATTGGCTATTTGGCGGGACTACATTTGTCTGACCAGCTACCGGACTAAAGTAACATTCAGTTCCTGCTGCCCAGGTCTGAACCTGACAAGACATCTGCTGGTGGCCAGCAAGTCCCATCATCTATTTCGCCCTGGTGGGTCTCTCTCACATCAATGTTTCTGTATCTGCTTCTCTCCTCTTCCTATCTCTAAAATCAATAAACATATCCTTGGGATGAGGATTTTTAAAAAAAGTGCTGTTATCTCTAACCCCATGGGGACAACAAATAATTTTAAATAGAGGCACAAACAGGTGTGCCCAAACACTGACAACAGACTTTATCCAATAATACGCTCGAATCTGCATCTGGAGGAGGCGGTGCAGTCGGTGGGGTGCCGTCCTGCAAAGCGAAAGGTCGCTGGTTTGGAGGGGCAACTGATGGATGTTTCTCTCACACATCGATGTTGCTCTCCCTCTTTTTCCCCCTCCCTTCCCCTCTTTCTAAAAGCAAATAAATAAAAACTTTTTAAAAAGAAAAGAAGACGATGTGGGAAATCTACTAAGTGAAATTTTAAATCAACAGACACTTTCTATCACAGTGTTTCTGAGCTCTCCAAAATTGTTACAACTGAAGGAAACGGAACAGCACTGAGCAAGGTGCAGTCGACATGCTCACAGTCAGCTCTGTTTTCTCACTTAATTATATGAGGCTTTTTTTTTTTAATTGCCTAGAAAATTGCCTTCCTGGTGCTCTCCAGCTTCTGGAGAAAACTCTGCTACTAACACACAATTGCGATTTTTGCAGGAGGACGTTTCTGCCGTGTATCCAGCCCTCCTCCAACAGCAGCGTAAAGGCCGTCTCTCCGCCCGGGCTGTCAGAGGGGACCCTCCACCCGCGGCGGTGGCGGCGGTGATGGTGCATGAAGCACAGGACGGACGTGTCAGGTCAGACCGACCAGCAACGGAACAGGCGCCAGGCCCCGAGCGGAGCAGCGGACAACACCCTGGGGTGCAGCGAGGCCCATTCAACAGCTCTGTGATCAGTGTACACACTGATACACACTACACACCGCAGCGTAGTGACTCCGAAAGAGTTTTAGAACAATTTCCCCCCTGAATATATAAAGGTAATTTAGAAAATAAGAAAAAGAAACATGCTCATTAAACCTGCCACCCAGATACAATCATAGTTAATGTTTTGATGTACTGTCCTTTAGCCTTTAATGTGTATACATAAATGGCATATCAATTTAAAAACGCCAATGTCTCCATTGTTAAATTTGCTAAGAATATATTTTATTAAAGTGTGCGACTAGATATACCTGGTCTCTCCATTTGGCACCAAATTCCACGTGGACAAAGGTTTCGATTTTTTTCATTAGGAACCTCTACTACCTACGACTGCCAGGCACCCTGTGGGAACTCAGAACATATTGTGAATTGTTTCTGCGATGAGCTATAATGCTCAAATGTTTTTAGCCAGAATTTACTACTAAAGGGAAGATACCCTGTTTTAAAAATCCCAAGAGTTATTCCATCTTTCTAAAAATCCCAGGTGAGGTTAAATACCTTTGTTGTGGGCCATGATTTTTTTTTTTAAACGTACAAGTTTTGGAGTGTCCATCACGTTATCTCTCCAAACCTCCATGCCCGTGCTTCACGAACTACGACGGAGGGGACTCTGTTCACTCACCAGGCCTGGCTTTCGATCCACTGGGATAAGTAGTGGCGGACCTCGATGGGGAAGTGCTGGCCATACAGCCCCTGCATCTGGCGCAGGGCATCCCCTTGCAGCTGCTGGGCCTGCATCCACACAGCCATGCTTACAATCTGCTGGACAAACAATCAGCGGTTTGGGAGGTTTTCTTATTTCTTCTTTCCCTTTTCCATCCCCTAGAGCAAATATTCACGCTACAGTTATAAAAGCTACAGATAAATGCTTTTTTTCATCCCTCTCTGCTAGACCCAAGGTCGGGGTTCTTGAACGGAATTCTGGCTTAAAACGTTTCATCCACGTGGATCCCCGGCGTGCCTCGGGAAGCTGCGCACCTGGGTCCGTAAAGCTCCGACTACAAGCCGCGCTGAAGTCCTGTGAGCGAAAGCACGGAACCGGCGTGAGGGGAAGAGCTGCCTGTGGCTGGGACGCCAGAGACACTTCCGTGACTTTCGTCCCTAACTGGATACAACAGCGCACAGCATTTTGAGCAGCACCGATCAATAATTAGCACAGGGAACGTTTAAAATTCACTTGTCTCATATTTGGTATTTTGACTTCTAAGAAATACTATAAACACACCATGCCATTCTGGAAAAGACCCAGTAAAGGCCCAAATATCTAAAGCATGAACTGGACCCTATGTGTTATGACTAGATACCCACCCAATGATGCTTTGCACAAAGAAGGGCACAGACTCATCTGGACAGATACCCCAAGGCTCACCTTCTGAGTTACTGCTAAGGAATTGATGAAGTAATGCTGTGTTAACTTACAGGCTTTAAAAACCTTTCTGACATAAAAACAAGACCTTCCAGCGAAGAGCCAGAAACAGGAACCATTATATTCCAACCGTGGGTAGGTTTTTAAAACACGCTCTTTATATTCCAGGAAAATGGTTTTACACAACTACCAAGGTGTCTCCTCAGGCATTTTTAATTCACCCGGCAGGAACTGTCTGGGCACCACCTGACGACAGCGCGATCTCACGCACACGCGCGGGAACAAAGGCGAACCTTGCTCCAACGCTCTGATCCACGGTGTAGAATTTGGTATAAGACCGGGCTCTCTTGAATTCCATCCAAAACTATCTGGCTACTCATTTGCACAATCCTCCCAAGAGCTCTGCCACAGTTGGGGTCCAGTGAATTGGACCCTGATTTTTTTGAATGCCAGAAACTACACGTATGGTGTTTCTACATACAAACTACACATATGTGTCAGGGAACACAAATCCCATCTCAGTTGTCGTCCGATCGCGTAGCATCGCGCTATTTATGGCACCAGTCCGCCGGCCAACAGCGAGGTGCGGGGTGGGTGCCAGTTACCTATTTTAGCCTTGTGCCACGCTATAGAACACTTGAGCGGTGTATAACCTTACTCAGGGCTTTGGGGCAGGGAGGCTGGGATCACTAAGATCATCCAAGACCTCAGATTTCAACGACTGAGAGTTTGCTGGGAGGAAGATACAGAGAGAAGAGCTTTCTCCATGTTATAATAAGACATCTGGAAGACATTTAATTGCACAATGCAATTTTTAATCAGATAAATCATATCCCGAGATTCTGGAAACTTGAGACAGATACCAAAGCATGTTTTTTTGGATAAAAGGTAAAAGGGACGGATGGTGGATGGCTGAGGGTGCTTAGGCATGCACACACACGGGAGAACGAGAACGGAACGAAGAAAAGAAAGCAGGTAGGAGCTGGGAAGAAGGAAAACCTCCTCGTAGCTCTCGTCGCAAATGTGAGTGACACCATCAGATGGAAACATTGTCTTGTGTCCTGTACTCATCAACTGAATTGACCCCAGACACCAAAGAAGGGAAACTGCAGGATAATTTTTCTCTCCTTACAGACTCCTTCTCAATCCACCCAAGTAAAATAGCGTTCTGGTCACTACCCTCCATCTGCCCCGTTTTCCTTCACATCACTGATCGCTTCCTGACATTTAGCACACGTTTGTTCAGTGTCTTCCCTCTGGGGCGAAGTCAGAACAAACACAGGGGCTTTGCTGTGTCCGCGGCTCCTCTTCCTGGGCCCAGAACAGTGCCTGGCACACAAGCAATCGGGAATTTTGTTGCATAAATAAATGTATGCACACAATTTCATCAAATCCATAAGCTCTTTTCTAAGCTATTATGGAACAAGATAAAAGTGTGAAATACCAAGGCAAGAAACTGAAACTGGAATTTTATAATTTGGTAAGTCTATACCTACAATGGTCTATATGTTCCTTAATCACATACACTGCAATTTGTAATATTTCCTTTGAGTTTTAATTAACTTGTTTTTGCCCATCTTCCTCACTGAACTCTTAAGAACAGTAGGTGCAGAGAACACACTTACTCACTACTTTGTCCCCAGGGCCAGGCACAGGGACTTGCCACAGTGAGCAGTCAGTAATTTTGCTGAGTGATGAAGTACAAACCAAATATTTGGTAAATATTCCACACGCCCTCTGGCTGAGCACGTCCCAGGGGTCTACCATTGTCTCGGAAAGACCAGGGTAACACGCCATGTGTCCATGGGTGTGTAAACGTCACATTATTTATTTTGTCTTGAGTTTTATACTGGTTCTTTGTTTTTACCGAAGAGTGGAATGCCGAGCTCTTAGCATTTGTCAGAATATTTTTTATGGCTCTAAAGATTAACATGTTATAATAGTTATTTTCTAAAATGCCATTTGAAGAACAATAGCTGGTAAATGAGGTGGTAACCACCTTATTTTGATAACTACAATATACTTTAATTCTACTACATAAAAATGCTCTGATAGCCCCTTTGAAAAGCACTCGTTGGGCCTTTCGCTAAAGGCCCACGGAGCCGTCAAGAAAGGGCGAAGTAAAAACCCAGCTTCTGGGTGAAGCGACAGCATGTTGCGCTGTCTCGCTTCAGCCGGTGGTGTGACAAGGGGGCGAAAAGCTTTGATAGAGCTGGAAAGTAGGTTTTGCCTACAAGTAGTCAAAAATGTAAAATAAAAGTCTAGTAAAGACCTTATTTATTTATTAAACATCGATGTGAGAGAGAAGCACTGACTGGCTGCTTTCTGTATGTGCCTGGCCGGGAACTGAACCTGCAACCCAGACATGTGCCCTGACAAGGGACTGAACTGCCAAACTTTTGGTTTGCAAGATGAAGCCCAACCAACTGGGTAAAGCATGAATTACTAGCAACAAATATTTTGATTCATCTGATAAATAATTTCAGAGGGTTGAAAAATGAGTTGAAGTAACATTCATTAGTGTTTTATCCACCATCAGATCTACCACTCACTCCCATATACTGAATGCTTACTATATTATTTATTACTGTAAGTGCTTCTATGAATCTACCATTTAATCCTCACAAAACCCTAGGAGGTAGGCACTATTATTATCCCTGTTTTATAGAGGAAAGACTTGAGACGTGACATTAAACAGGATTGTAAAACGACGTGACGTCTTTGGAAGGCAATCCGGCGATTCTTCAAAAGGTTAAACACGGAATTTCCGTGTGACCCAGCGATTCCGCTCCCGGACATATGCTCAAGGACTGACCGCACACGTCCGCACCAGCTTGTATGCAACGTTCACAGCGGCGTCATTCCCAACAGCCAAAGAGGACAAAGGACACAAAGGTCCATCAGTGGACGAATGAGTAATATGGACGTAAATGGAAACATGAAATGGAATATTATTCAGATATACAAAGGAATAAAGTGCTGGTGCTGTAACACGGATGAACCTTGAAAGCATTCTGCTACAGTGAAACCAGCCCAACACGAAAGGCCACGGAGTATAAGTTCCACTTACATGAAACACCCAGAACAGGCCACCCCCCGGGGACAAAGTGGACAGCCGGTCGCCGAGGGCTGGGGTAACAGGGCTGGATGTGTAACGGGTACGGGTTTCTTCTGCGGACAGAATATTTGCTCCAGGCCCCCCCACTACAGAGGGGCACCCTCTGGGCCAGAAGCGGGCAGTCTGGCCCCAGAGCCTGTACTTCCACCCGCCACAGTGTTCCCTTTGTCTTGTGGACTTGTGGTGCCCGGTCATATTGTGTTTTGTAATTTTCTGTATGTTTGCCATATGTTATAGTTTAAAGAAAAAGGAATAAGAGATTAGAATAGGAAACCAAATATTACGAGGCTCTGATTTGGGCAAAGGCTTGGTTGGGCTAGTTGGCAGATGAAACAGAAGGTGTGTAAACACTGCTTCCAAGCTGAAAAGTACAAGGCAAGGAATTGGGATTCAAAACTATGAACCACGTTAGCTCCAGTTAAAGACTAGAGGGCTTTGGAGAGAATACAAACAGCAAGTTCCCCATTTATGTCAATATGACTGTGATTACGTGTGTTCAGTAGTGGCGGTTACCCAGTAGTAGGAACTTGGAGGGACAGAAAAATGCTGAATAGTAATAAAGGATTAAGACTTTTGTTCATATTAAAATTGGCCTAACATCAAGCAAGAAGGTTAGAGTAAAACTTTCCCATCTCGAAGTACGTCAATACCAGAGCCATCTGCTCTTAAAAAAAAAATTCTAAACACTACTTTATAAGCAATCAGGAAGACAATTCTCTGACAAAATCAGATTATTAAACAGATGGGATGAGAACAGAAAGAATAAAAGTATTTGGCTCACAAAGAAATAAACAAGGAAAAATGTGCCCAAGCAACATAGAGATGATATAATTCTGGGAAGACAATCAGTCATAAATCTTTACGTGACAGCCAAATCATTACGTATTATTTTGGGAAGAGGAGAAAAAGTGAGTGAGGGGGGAGAGCATGAGGAAGAGGAAGGGCAGCTAACTACAAAGACCAAGTGGCAATCCGTGGGTTGTCATCTGTTTTAAATGCTCACTTAGATACATCTTGGCCCAACACACAATCCCAGAAGCAAAGAGCAGACTCAGAAGAGGATGCTCAGAAGTCACCATCTGCTGGAGTGCGGGATATTCTCACAGCCTCAGAGTGCTGCCTCGCACATTAGTTATTCGCAAAGGGGCACAGGTGTATTTCCAGTGGGAAAAGCTGGCAGACGACACCCTGTGGGGTGATCACACACCCCCGATCACAGGACAGAGCGACACTGTACACCTCCAGACGTGACGCACTGAGAAGATGTGAACCGCGTGTGTCACCTCTGCTCATGAAGCGGCAGTCGGACAGACACAAACTGTGAGACTGAGGGAAAGACAGACATGGGGAGTTGCTGGAGAGTGGAGGACACTAAGCACACATGATAACTACCCAGAGCGTAATTTAAAAAAGAAAACCCACGGCGCTTAAGGATGTCACTGGGACAATTAAAGATTAAAGATTTCATCCCTGGCTGGTGTAGCTCCGTGGATTGAACTCGGGCCTGTGAATCAGAGGCTCACAGTTTGATTCCCCGTCAGGACACATGCCTGGGTTGCAGGCCAGTTCCCAGCAGGGGACCCACGAGAGGCAACCATACACTGATATTTCTCTTCCTCTCTCCTTCCCTTCCCCCCTAAAGAGAAATAAAATCTTTTAAAAAATTTAAAGATTTTAAGTTGAATTTTAAAATGGCCTCTAATTGGATATCACTCTATGAATGTTACAGTTTTTGAGAATGATAATGACATTGAGGTTGTATGGAATGACCTTGTTCTTGGCACAGACTTGAGTGTTTATTACGTATGAATCAATACTCAAATACATATCAAGAACATATCCAAATATGTGTCAAGAACATACTCAAGTACTTAAGGGTAAGTCATGATGGCGGTGACTTACTTTCAAAGGAGAAGGGGAGAAGGAGGCACCCCCTGAATGTAACAAGTGTCAACAACTGATCAGTCTACGCAAGGTGTACATGAGTTTTCTTTGTTCTAATTCTTTCAATTTTTCAGTAATTTGAAGTTTTCCCAAAATCACAAGGGTGAAAATCTATTGAGAAAGGCAATGAGAACAGAGAATTGAGTCTCATCTGGAAACTGTCTCTGGCGGTACATAAAACCCTGGATTTAGTTAAGACTGTGCTGAAGCTGGTAGGACGCTCCCGTACAAGCCAGCCCCCGCCACCACCCTCACCGCCCGCAGCTTGAGTGCACGTAGGTACGTTTTTGTTCTATGTTGAAATCCGTTTCCCCCCCCACCGCCCGCAGCTTGAGTGCACGTACGTTTTCGATCTGTGTTGAAATCCGTTTAGCGGTATGCACAACCCATGTGGGAAGAAGCTACATCCCTACCAGTTTCCAGGTCACTCACACGTCAGCTACATTCCTCGGGAAACGGCATCTGCATCACGGAAAAGAAAGACGTGACCTCAGGCTACCTCGTGTCAGCCTCGGGATTCCTGGTGAAGGTCGGCATCTCTACCCACTTCACACTGTCAATCACTAAGACCAGCTCATCTCAGCATGTGCCTCTTGTACAGCGTGAATCCTTCAGTTCAGGAAACAAAATCTCCTCAGCCTCGACCATAAACTGGGTTTCTGTGCCATGAACGAGAACCCCTTCCCTCTTATTACCGTTGAGAATCACAGCATTAAGTTTTCACCTAGCAAAATCCGCTTTGGAGAGCACTTTGCACCAGGCCAACTCCCAGGGACAGCCTTAGTCATCAGTACAACACACAATGGTGAGACACTGTAAATGACCTAAATGGCCAAAGTAGGAGAACGATTGGATGACATTTTGGTCTGATTGCAACAGTTAAGAGACAGGACTCACGGACAAGGACCACAGTGGCGTGATGGAAGAGGGAAAGGGGACCAGGGGGGTAAACGGTAGTGGAAAAACACAGTAAAAAATTAGAAAAATGAAATAGAAAGGCTATGTTGAAATATAAGGCCACGCAGACACATTTTTTCAAGTACAAGTACAAGGATGTTAAATGAAAAGCATGCGCAGGGTACAGATGCTGGAAGGACAAGAACCAGAGGAAGGTCGACAAGAACTAAACGACTTGTATTTACGTGACTTATCACATTTAGGTGAAGGAGTTTGGGTCTGACTTTGTAAAGTACTTATTAAACTTTGCTTAGGGCGTAAAACTTGAAATGTAAATTTAATAATCTTGGGCAACTGGTACAACTCACTGTCCTGCAAGAACCAACCATAAAAAGACACACAAAAGACGCAGGAAACCGTCCCCCAACATGACAGTGTCCGGGTCACGGCACTGCCTTACAAACTGCGTATCCTGATTTGAGTAGGGCATGAAATAGTAAAAATTCAGAATTATAAAATTTTTTCGAAAGAAATGCAAGTCTATCATTTTCAAATATATAGCGATTTACTGTTTTCAAGTAGTGGTTCAAGATCATTAACAGCTAAGATTAACTTGTAACTTTGACATCCACATGACATTTTATTTAAAGTCTTTATTCTTTTGTTTAGTAAACATCTTCTTCTAGAAATAGTGTAAAAGTAAATGGCACAAAATATATTTTGAAATACTTCCTGAAGTCCGGAAGAAACAAAAAAAACATGTACATGGAAAGTAGATAAAAAAAGATAAACCAAAGTTGGGTAATTCTGAACTTGAGTGATGACTCTAGAGCCATGTGTCACACCGACTCCCCCTTATTCTGTGTGTGCGGAAATGTCCGCACCCTCGTTCACAACACTGAAGGGCAGAAACGGTAAGCTGGATGTGACACCCATCTGGAGATGAGTGATCTCCGGGGTAATGGAGTTTGAACTTAGTAGGTCTAACTGTGATTTCTGAAAGAAATGTGGAAAATAAAGAAGGACCACGAGGAATATTTGGGAAAGTTGTATTTCAAGACAAGAAATAGTATATTCTTAAGTTCATCTTTGGCTCTTTTTCCACCTTTGATGTGACTAAGCAGTGTCTCTGCAAACTTGTACCAACTGTTAATCAAATGAAGTGCACAGACCACTCGCAGCAGTGCAAAAATTCTTTTTTCAAAACAACATGCCCCTTACCCCCAGGGACACACCTGAACACAACTGGCCTATGAGAAGACCCTTGATAGTTCAAGGGTAACGTTCAAGGCCTCTAGAAGGCTACAGTGAGAAGAGCAGACCCCAGGAAGCCATAGCCATGGGTTCCTAAACTTGCCGCCACCCAAAGGCCTGCAGAACTGGGGGGGCAATCTTCCTGTTTTGTTGACAGCAACTTATTTTGCGTCCAGAACCTACATTTATAACCACACCAAGGTGTGTGCTCCCTCTTGGGTTCCTCGCTATCTCACTGAGGGGGAGCGGCTCGGGCCGGTCTCCGAGAACAGAGAGGCGGCACTGCCGGGCAGTCTCGCTAAGGAGACCCTGCGAGGATTCTCCCAACACCGCACAGCTCGCTTCCACCTGCCTCGACGCCAGCGCCCACCCGACGAGCTCCGCTACCCGCAGCAAACCTGGGGAAGAGACTGAACTCCGCCCAGTGGAACAGCCCGCTTCTCCACCGAACCCAAACGAAGCGCAGAAGACTGTAGCTTGCCACATCCCCTCTCCTTTCGGGTGGCTGCATTCTCTGCATTTATCATAATCATAATCTACTTCATTTTTGCTAACAGTCATTTGTATGTCAATCCTTCAAAAAAATAGAAAATGAACTTAAGTATATTTTTGTTAAAAATAAGTGGGAAACTAAAATCTTGTCTTCTCACAGAGAAATGCCTCATCAGCTAGTTCCTTTGTCTGCTCACGGGATGACGTCCCATTTGTGAAGCCCAACCGACTGCAGCTTTCAGGGGCAATGCCAGCATGCAGGGGGGGGCAACACCTGCGGAAAAGGTGGGGCCCACAACCGGCAGCAGATGTTTCGGAGCGACTTCAAATCCTGAGATGAAATGACATTTAAAGGAGGGCTCACTGTGTCTTAAGGAAAGTCAAAATGTTTGGCCTCTTGGTGGAAAAAGGTTATCCAATATAAAAAGTAATATAAAATAATATCAGAACATTCAACAGGAAGATGAACTGAAACTGGGCACAAAGTTACCTTCCCCACAGCATGAACAGTGGCACTCTGCAATAAAATACAAATATTTTTGCTAAAACAAAGGGGTTTTTCTGGAAATGGATTCGTTCCCTCTCACTACGTGCCTACTGGGGTATCTCTGCACCATGAACTTGAGCGAACGTTCCCGCAACACCCCACAGGTGCACTGAAAAACTCCCACCTCTCAGCTAACAGCTTCTGCACCAAGCCGTCAGCCAGGATAACGGCTTCTGTGCCTCTTCTCTCGCAGGCTGCACGGTTACAGGAAGAAGCAAAGAGCAGCGATTTCCTTCCAAAAGGTCAGCTGCCTCAGACAGACCAAACAGAAAGCAGCTAATTCTTGCCAACTTCCCCTCCTGCTTCTGCACCTTGTACGCAACCGCGTTCGGTTTCCCGTAAAGCTCCAAAGAAAAACAGAGCCGACGTGAGACCCGCAACCTTGAAGTGTGTCGCTGGACGGCGTTCAAGACGCCAGGACCACAGGCAGCGACATGGGTGAACGGCAGAGGGACTGTGAGGAACCACCAGAGTTAACGGCAGACTTAACCCTGGGGAAAAGGGCAGGGCTGGAACCATCCCGGAGTTCACGCTAACGCTCCAGAAGCCACTACCTAAAAATAAAATGGTATTTGGGCTACAGTAAATGTGACAGCGTGGAAGGTCCCTAGGTGACTGATGGAGAAATAAATCTTTAGCTTTCCTCGTCTCAAACCAAAGTCAGACTGTCACACGACACACTGAAGCACTGGCCGGGTTCGAGGCCAACAGCAGTAGAAGCGTGTAGATGATGACCACATAGTTTTTCAGATTAGACATGGAGAGAAGGCTGCACAATTACCAACAAAAAGGGGAAGAGGACAGAAAATATGATTTTAAATCTTCTTTAGTAGTAACCCCAAGTAGTTACAAAATAATATTAAAAACCCTCCCACCCCAAACAAACAACACATTCTTGCATAGACTTTTAAAAATTAAGACAGCATCTATGTATTCAATCTTCTTAGAGGCAACAAATTAGATCCTTTTGAGTATAAATGTGAAGGAGCCCTGGCTGGTGTGGCTTAGTGGATTGAGTGCTGACCTGTAAACCAAAGGGTCACTGGTTCGATTCCCAGTCCGGGCACAAGCCTGGGTTGTGGGCCAGGTCCCCAGTAGGGGGACACATGAGAGGCAACCGACTGATGTTTCTTTCCCTCTCTTTCTCCTTCCCTTCCCCTCTCTCTAAAAATAAGTAAAATCTTTTTTTAAAAAAAAGGTGAAGAAAGAAGGAAAAATGACTTTTTAAGTTTTCTCAACCAGACTGGTTGCTGGCTTAGCTGTCCACACACAACTTACAAGAAAACGTGAAGTCCCTCCGAAGCCCTCCCGCGGCAGGGCACAGGGCTCCGTGTGGTTTCTAACTCATTAGTTTCAGGCTGTGGTGGCAACGGAGACACCAACCAGACTTTGTGAGACACGCTTGCATTCTGAACGTTGCAGGCTCTGACGGTGCAGCGTAGGCAGCCCGTTCTGAGACGGCCTCCTTCGAAGGGACACAGTGTGGGGCTCAAGGAAACACTCGCTAGTCTGTTGGATACGCTGAGTGAACTGCTGCTACAAACACCAGAAACCGTTTCGTGCTGAACACAAAACAAACGAGGACACTGCCAAGCCTTCCCTACACTTAATCACCGAACTGTGAATGACGACAAAGGGAGCACGAGCAGCAGCAGGCGTAATGGTAACCGTTCTAATGAGAGACACTCGGGGAGCCCCACTGTGTCACGGACTCATGGACTCAGGCGCTGCTCTGTGCCCTTGACATGCTCCCCGACTGGACCCTCATGGCAGAGCTGTAAGGCAGCACCATTATTATTCTCCTCCTATCAATGAGAAAACAGGCTTCGGGGTGGAGGAACCTGCCCAGAGTCCTGATGCAAGAAGGTGAGGGAGCTGGGACCAGCACCTGCGCCGTCCTCCCGCACTTCGCCTGCCCAAGGCCCCTCACCCGTCCAGGTGAGCCCTTCCTGACAACGACACCTGTGGTTTAGGGCAACTTTACGATAAAAGCTACAAACTGAATTAACACATGTGCCACTCACAGATACAAAAAAAAAACCCTCTGGCACTCCAGAAATGCTGTATATGGGATTTCCTTTCCTAAAGGCAAGAGAACATGGAGAGGAGAAATCTTCAATCAGAGGAAGCCAAGTTAGGGTGTAAAACCTAACGTGGGTTTGGTGGTCTGCCTTCGCCCCTCCGAGTCGACCAGAAATCAGCTAAAGGCGTTCGGCTGTAAAGGGAGTGGGGGGAGAAGAGCGAGAACGGGCCTGGGGGTGGGCGACTTTGCAGTTAGGCCAAAACCCAGATCCCGACCACTGTGGTCAGAATGGACAACGCGACGTTTCCTGTAAGAGGCAGAGTGTCTGGTTATCCTTGTCGTATTTGTTCCCAAACTCCTTACTGGTCTTCACAGAGTACGCTATTAACCATTCCCAGTGTTTACCAGAGAGTGTCCTGCTCTCTGGCTTTCTCATTAAAGCGACAGTAATCCCTCACACGAATGAGAGAACAGCTTGTGAGGTGTCCTGGGGGGGGTGAGAAAACACAGTAAAAGACACCGAAGTCAGCTGTCATCTGGGTAACCGTCCACATTACACCAACAATTAAATGTCCACTCAATGCTGATGTGCGCACGGAGTGACAGGCCAGATACGAAGGGGGAACCCCGCTGTGACAAGTGTGGCGGTAACCGCATCACTGTGCGCAGTGTACACTAAATCACCGGCTGAACGTCAGGAGACCATCTGGGCTCACCAAGCCACACCACTGAGAAGTACTGAATTTTTTTGGACTGTAAGATGCACCTGGGTTTTAGAGCAGGAAAATAGGAAAAAATTTTTGAAGCCAGAAAATGTGGTGACATATTTAATAACATAAGTAACACAGCCACTGTGCACCCCCCGCAGAGAGCCAGGTAAGCTACATTCGGACTGTAAGACGCACCCCCGTTTCCCTCCCCAATTTGGGGGGGGGGTGCATCTTCCGGTCTGAAAAATACAGCAGTTACTCTCACGTGGAAAACGTCTGAATTTAAGTGCTGTGTGACATGTCAAGGGGAAACCTGAGACAAGGAACCTGGGCATCTACACGTCTAATCTCCGCACGAGCCTAATCTTTAACATCTTCCGATTCAAAAAAGAATCAACAGAACACCTGTGTCCCATGCCTTTGATTGTTCTGATCATCCCAGGCTTAAAAGATGAAATGCCTTCCCTCTCGACAATGAGAACGCGCCCCCCCCCCCGGGCATCAGAACTAGAGCAGATTCGACTACTCACCTGTTGCTTAACCGCACCGCGAGTGGCCCCAGGGCAGGAGCTGCCGTGCACTGACTTGGATTCCTCAACACAGTGCTCAGCGCATGGTGGATGTTCAAAAGTTGTGCGTTATATCCAACTTTGGTGGACCTTTGAGTCACAAAAAGAACCTAAATGGGGGGAAATGGCTGGTGGGTCAGTTATTTCCTTCAAGATGTTATTTTTAACCCCATGGAGCTCATTAACTTGGGTCCTGGTTACAGGAATAATGGGACTGAATCACACTTTACAGAAACTGTGACGGGGGTTTTGACTCATCGTCACTGCTAATCAAGGTAAATATAATCGCCGGTTGTACTTTTCCATAAATATATCGAGACAAGTTTGTAAAACAGCGCTAATGCCCCACTGTGGCAATTTCGAGAGACAGAATTACATGAGATGGGATGAGGCTAACGTGAGCAGAAATTCCAAAGAAAGCTTCTTCTTCATGCACACTGAACTGTTTCTCCTAATTATGTCTCCGAAAAAGAAGTTGAGTATAAATGAAAAGCACAATGTCTACCAACAGTTCGCTTCTTCAGTTACCATGTACACTACCAAATGCGGTCCAGAATGGCTTATTATTGCGCCAAAACAAGAGGGTAAAGTGCTGCGTCCAGAATGTGGATTAATTAACGTTGGAAGGATGACTCAGGACTCATGGCATCGGTCTGACAGACCCTGAGCCTGTTATTTATCTCCCGAGGGCTCTTCAACTGCGGGATCGAATGCCAACTCATGCAGCTATTTCAGTAAATACAGCATGTTTGCCTGCAGACTATTTTTTTAGTTGAGACATATTTCCATGTAGCAAAGGACATTCTGCAAATGAAAATACAGCCGTGAATTGCTATGGATGTCCCCTACCCCTGCCAAAAATGACAAGCTGCTTGCTCAAAAGCTGTCACTAATTAGCAGCTGCTGCCGCGAAGAAAACCAAGCCCAGTGCCAAGGAAAGCGCACGGAACTGGCCCCGCGACAAGGAATGGGAAATGCAAGAATCTATTTGTGACTAGCACACTTTCAAAATGGTGGCCATCTAAATGTGGAAGACCTGGGGGCAGGACGATGGTGGCGACAGATGTGCATTCACATCTGAGCAGGAAGCACCAGAAGAGCCTCCCAGCATCCCCGCAGGCGCAGAGGTCCCAGGGCACTGTGCTGACTGAACGCCACCACGACCATCTCCCCTCTCGGACGGGAGCGGCTTTGGTGGGGGGTAACTTTTCATTGTTAGCACTTCTGTCTCTGGCATACTAACACCGGCAGCTGTAGACATCACACAAAAAATTGAATTTAAAAATACCTTTCATGGTCTCGTGGCTCCGGCCTAAACTCTTACGGTCAAATCTAGTTATTGACCCCCTTCCTCTTTACAGGTTGAGAAAATAAAGTCCAGGAAAGCAGAAGTGATCTGCTCAGGGCAAACGAGCAATGGATACAGTGGCGGAAAAGTCACTCTTTTGGCCCTATGTTCAAGTCAGCATAAGAGGCTCTAAAATCGCCCGTAGATTAAGAAGATCCTGCTTGAAACCCATAATGCACAGGCTGCTTTTCAAACCATTCTCCTCGGCTCTCCCTCGCTCTGTTTCTTTACCAATCAGATCTCCTAGTAAATTTCTTCTTCCTCAATAAGTTCAGTTTCTATCTTTTTAATAAAAATTTTAATTAAAAGAAATAAGGATATTTCCTCCTTAGTTTTAGTTCCCTTACTCTTTTCCCTGTCCCCTCTGAGCAGACTGACAGAGAGCCACTACTATGTTATTCATATTTGGATAACAGGGCCAGGTTGTTTCTGTAGCAACTACTCAAAAAATGAGACTGAAAAAGAAAGAAAAAAGGGAGAAGGGAAGGCAGGCAGGGAAAGAGGGACAGACAGGGAAGGAGGGAGAGAGGGGAGGAGGAAGGGGGAAAATACAAAGAAAATAGGAAAATGGAGAAGAAAAATCAGTACCATATAATTTCTTAAAGAAGCTGCAAGCAAACCCTCTTCAGCAGCTGCTGCCATTTATGTGGAGTTTGTTTTAATGACTATGTAAACAGCTACAATGACGTACCGGTAATTTTCCAGTTCCGAATCAGGCTGTAACAATGAAAACAACTTGCTTTATGAAACGTGGAGAGAGACTGATCTTTGACATTATTGTCAGTGCAGGTTTATCAGCAAGACTTGAAGGAGACAAGCCCACAGATTAGGAATCAATTTTCAAAGCTTTCATACCCGCCTAGTGGCAGGCGACAAGCGGTTGGGTCGACTTGTTTGGGGACCCGCATTGTGCACGTATTGCTGGCAAGGTCTGGGGACAAAGCAAAAGCTAGAAAAATCCGGGGGAAGAAAAACTGTCAAGTCTCCGAGCAAAAGACTCATATTAAAAAAAAATAATAATAAGCCAGACGCAGAGGGACAAGTATTATAGGATCCCACTTACATGAGGCACCCAGAGCAGTCACGTTCATACGTAGAAAGCATTCGATCCCAAGGGCGGGCGAAAGGGAATGGGAGTGAGTGTTTGACCGGTGCGGCTTCAGTTGGGGACAAGGAGAAAGTCTGGAGCGGGATGGTGGCGATGACTGCATGACAATATAAATACACTTAACGCCACAGCATAGACTTGGTGCCACTTAAAAATGGTTAAAATGATTTTTAAAAAAAATTTAATGGGGGGGGGGAGCCAGTTCTTAACTCTGAAATCCAAAGGAGACAGAGAACCTGCTTTCCCTTCTCTTCTCTCTTTTCTCCAGGAAAAGGCGAGCTCTCAGCCCTCCCGAGGGCTGAGGCAGTGTCTGCGCGTGCCCTCTCCGGAGATCCAAGGGGAGTCAATGGAACGAAGGCACCGTCAGCACCAACCAATGCTTACAATCACAGAAGCGCGCCTGCCTACTCTCATAAAACAGGAAGGACTTGTTTAACTGAGACCTAACTGAGCACCAGCCACACGCCAGGCTCCACTCCAGGTACCGGAGGCCTGGCAGGGAAGAACACAGGGGTGTCTTCGTGGGACGTACACTCTAGCATCTACTATTAAATGCTTGAAAGTTTAAATACATAGTCTATACCGTATTTTCTCATTTTTGTTTTTAATGTTCTTTTATTTCTGTTGGGGGGGAATAGGATACCACTTGAGTATTGCAGAACCTTACAGGTAAACCACAAAGTCTGTGCTTTCAAACCAATATTTGGAAAAAAGTTTTCAAAGGATCGCGACAAAATCCAAATAACGAGGGTGATGACTAGCTTTTGTGAAAGCCATTCCTTACGAGACCAGGACATCCGTTCAGCCCTGCCTAAAGGTGGTCGCATTTAAGGAGCTACGGGATGTGCAAAGCAACCCAGGTCTCACCCGGGATCCCAAAGGTACGATCATTTCAATGTGGTGTTAGTCCAGCTTTTTCCCCGGCACAGTTTTACTTGGAGGGTTACTTTCGTGCTCGCCACAATCGAACCACTTACCTTTCAGAGATGATTTGCGGATTCAGTCTCTACAAGGTACTAAACATAGAACACGGAGTTAAAAATTCACGATGGGACTCGAGCTTCTACCCACCAGCACAAAGAAACACAAGGTGGCAGGTGGCTAGCAAACATTTAATCTCTTCTTTTCCCCACAGAATAAAATATAGGCTGAATCCTACAAACACAACAAATGCCATCACGGTGGAGAACCTACGTGGAACACAGATATTTTGAAGCGTCTGAAAATACGCCAGCTGTTTCTCAAGTCAGCACAGTGACCTTTTATTCAATATAATGAAGGTAATGAATTTTAAAACAAAAGAATTACACTCCTTGGAGTATAATAACTTTTGTATAGGCTTCCGCCACTGTATCCATTGCTCATTTGCCCTGAGCAGATCACTTCTGCTTTCCTGCTTTTCTTACATTTCCATCTAAGAAAATCTATTAAATGTTCTAAGATAAGTTGCCATATTATATTGGGAAAAGTATTTTTCCTCTATGGAAATAATCCTCAATTTTATTGAGAAATAAATGACATTCAGTAAAGTATAACAGAATGTTTTTTTAAAGATTTTATTTATTTTTAGAGAGAGAGAGGGGAAGGGGGAGAGAGAGGGAGAGAAACACCAATGTGTGGTTGCCTCTCATGTGCCCCCCCACCAGGGAATTGGCCCACAACCCAGGCATGTGCCCTGAATGGGAATTGAACCAGCAACCCTTTGGTTCGCAGGCTGGCACTCAGTCCACTGAGCCGTCCCAGCCCGGGCTACCTCAGAATGTTTCAAGTGTTATAATTAACCTACTTGGGGCACCATACTAAAACAAGGGGTTCCTAAAGTCCTCCTTACTAAAAGATATTGGATGTTTTATTTGACATTAAAAAGCCAACTAGTTTGGCTTAGATATCAGCCAACATTCATTCAAAGCAACATAGAAGTTCCATTCATGTCTTCGAAGGTTCCTTCCAGAATCAGATCTCTAAAAAGACCATTAAGAAGGCCCGGAGAGCCCAGGGCATTGGGGCTTAGGCACTACCAGAGGCTCCAGAATCTCTTTACCACGATGGACCTCTAAAACCCTGTTTGTCCAGTCTCGAGCACTCGGAGTTCTCATCACCTCATGCGTAGAGAATTGAAAATTACTGCCCTCCCTTAGGTACCTCCTAAGACCAGGCTAACATTAGCGGAGGTAAAAATCACTTTGGAAAGGAGAAATTTCATCTGTAATTTTAAGTATATCATAAAAATGAATAGTAGCTAGGACCAAAAGAATACTATTATTTTCTAGGCCATCTCTGTTTCAAACACTCCCCCAAAGCAAGACAAAATAGAAACTGTCTAAAAGTAATTTGATGGTTGAGTAATATCTAAAACAGAATGGGCTGTTTTAGAGTTGTAAGTACACAAGGTCATATAGGTGACAAGGGACACTTTAGGCTGATGCATCCAAATTCAATACTCAGGCCCTTACACCCTTCTGTGATAAAACAACAAGCAGCGCTCACCCTCTTCCCTGCACCCTCTTCCTGATCACCTTACAAATAAAATCATATTCCAAAATCCATCTGCATGCTTGTTGTTTGGAAGAGAGAACATTTTCTCATAGAAACAAAGTTATAAAGAGATGAAAAATCCCTAGGTAAACCCCAAGACCTCAGCTGAGCAATGATCT